TGATGAGTCCAATTGTCTTCGCCAATTATATGGGCCCACAAAGTTCCCACTTGAATATCCGTCAGCGTAAAAGTGGCCTAGCCCACAATTTTTCATAATCGTGCTTATATATTTGCAATTTCTTTAAAACAATAAATTTTGATGCAAAAACGGTTTATCCCTAGTTTCACACATAGATAACAGATGGCCTTGTAAACATAATTTTTTCGCGAATTGTTTTTGGCTACGAAGCCATGTAAAAGTAAATTCATTCCTCATTATCTCCATACTAACTATGGTAAGCTTAGGTCACTTTTACGCTGACGGCCTCATTTAATATCTAGTTTTAATGATGTCAAAAGCGGTTAGCAAAATTAATTACGGACAATACAAAAAATGATAATCTAATTAACGTTAAACACAATTTGAATATCGGACAACGCGAGCGTAATCAGACGGCACACACGATTATCGCGCGCGCCGTTATCGCCGGAGCCTATTTCGATAAATAATGTAATTGTAATGTTACTTATCATTGAAATGAATAAATCAAATCAGGCGATTGAGTGCCAGTAATTTCACGCGTATCATTCATGACTTAAGTAATGCAATTTAATAAACAACATTTATTGAATTATCATTTATTGTGTTTCGTGGTCTCCGCGACGTCTTTGTTTATCCTAGTTTTCGAGCGGTTCCACAAGTCTATAGAAATCGCCTGAGACCTTAATATTATAGGCTGTCCCGCTCTTCGGACCAGTAAGCGTTAATGCTACGCCGCAAAAATGGGATGCCTAGTTACGCGGAGTTCCAAAACGTTGTATACGACTCTAGTAGGTACTGTTTTTCGCCAAACGAACCTTTTAATCCTTTTTTGGAATTGACTAAGTTCAAACGAACCTCTTTGATTGCGTTATATGAGTAGAAGAGTTTGTAGCGCAACTCTTGTCATGCATCACCGAAGCCCGAGGACATATGTACGTGAATACAACCGTCCAATCAAATCAAATTCAACTAACGCATAAAGTATTGGACGGAATCTCATCCAACTTTACAATCATATACAATAGAATAATTAAAATATAAATTAATTATAATTAACGGACGATAGGTGGTGTGTATGTGTGCGTGTGTGTGTGTGGTCTTAAGAAATCAATGTTTTTTTTTTGCGAACGATTTGCAAATAGTCATATCGGAACGTGACCGGGTTACTCTAGGTCAATGATACGGGCATAAATTAACGAATCTCGTTTCAATTGTTCAAATTTTCCACATATCCCTAGAGTAAATCAGCAAAGATCTCACGTCACTCATACAATAGCTTACAAATAGATAAATAGTGTCGTGTGTTTGATGTTTGCATGATGTTTGAGATTAGACACATTCAGTAATAGGTACTTATTACTTTTATACTAGAATGAAAATTACGTTAACATTATTAACGGACGCCAATAAAAAGAAAGCTCTCGATTTCATTGTTTTTTTTTTGTCTTTACCGTTCCAGCTTTGAAACCGATTTTGATTCTTTTTTTTATTTATTTATATATTTATTTATTTATTTAAGGATTACCGACAGGGTTTACAGTAAGACATAAAATAACATTGACATGTATAGAGCAATTGATAACTGCAACTCTAATTATAGGCAATCACAGCATGCATTACATTAATATATTAATAGAGATTTAATAATACTATTAATAATAATAAAAATTAAAAACAAAAGAAAGACAACAAGGGCAGTAATACCCGAGTACTCAGACCGAGGCTGAGGCTGAGGTTCAACAACAACTTTTTATAATTTTGTTCTTAAATATTGGAAGGGAATCGCCAAATATGTCAAGGTTTTCAACTTTTTAGACAATTGTATGAAGATTTGACCAGAGTAGTACATATTTGAGTTGTCCTTTAAAATGCATATTTAATTAATTGTCTTCGACTAAATTCATGATATTTTATTTTGTTGAAATAGGTTTTGTCTCATATATTTTTTTTTGTTAAGATCTTGTATCATTCGACACAGGAACCTACAAATTCGAAACTGCCTATCATTGTTAGCGTGTAGCGAAGCGGACGGATGAATGTCGTCGTGGTACTACTAAATACCACTTCTGTTCTTGTTATTCAAAACACAAAATAACGAACTATTTTACTTTAGGTGGGTTAATATCATCTATAATATATTAATACGTGAAGCAAAAACTTTGTATCCCTTTTTACGTAAATTACGCGGACGGAGGAGTATGAAATTTTCCACACTTATACAGAATATAGAGAAGAAGTGCACAATGCTAATATTTTTTTAAAATAATACATTAAAGATACATTACATCAATAAATAAAACATTACACACACTACATACCATGTATTTGACGCACACACGCATGCATACTATTTATTGTCAAACTTTTGTTCTTGACGTTTGTGATCAAATTGAGAATAGATTAGATATTGTTTGTCTTCATTAACATTTTTTATAGTGTAGCCTTAGCGAAATTTGTGATTATAGAAGTATAAAATACAATCATAATAGAGTACAGACTTACAATTCCAATTAATTATAGTCGAATTTCGACTACTGCGGGACCTCTAGTCCATACTAATATTGTAAACGGTAAAGTGTGTTTGTTTGTGATTTCTTCATTTGTAAACGATACAATAGATTGACGTCGGATTTTAAAACGTTATAATCAAGAGAGTGACATAGGATACTGATAAACTACATTACACTTTCTTTGGTCATGTGGGCGAAGTTACGGGTAACAGCTAGTATACTCATATTCTTAATACCTTTGAGTATTCAAATGCGACTGATACGTTGGCCTAATGTCTGAACGTCATCAGGTGACCGTGAGCTCGTTCTGTTATACATAAAAAAATAATATTTAAAAGTCGATAAGATAACGGTGCGTGCTCACGGATCTGCGACCATATGAAAGGCACGCATGCCACCGCTGGGCCACAATGCGACCAGAATAGCTATTGCCGAGTATATTACGTACGCACCGCAATTCTTGGCATAGACTGGTTCTTGTGAGACTGTAATCTGTAGATTTAAGTCGGTACATCCCCAGTTCGGTACTTACACGTTATACACGATAACGAACTTTTTAGTGAACATATAACTGGCGACCAATATTGTTTGCACGATATTCAATGACGCTGTAACATGAATAAATTTTAAAAAATCGAACGCCGAAAACTTAACAGAATTAAAGAACCATAGAAGGATTAAACTACTGTAATATATTAAGATATTAATGTTTGTTGGGCAAATAAACTTTCTTATACATAAGTTGTTGTGGTATCATTCGGTAGTATCCCGGAACACCAGCGGCATCGCCCGGGTGGTCTGGTAGAGCCGCCGTATCGCGGAGACCGACGTCGTTGGTCATCGACTATTGCCTCGACGACTCGTCCGTCGGGCGTCCTCGGGGTGGCGCCGCGTGTCTGCTTGTAGTGTTGATTGCGGGAATCCTACTCTGAGCGGATTTTGACCCCGGACGGAGATCGGACGTCGGGTGTAAGAGTGCAGGGGAGTCGTTTAGTGGGTGGGGCCCTAAAATTCCTTGGGCCCGCGGTCTGCTCCCAACACCTTGCAGATCGTCAAGTCCCACATACCCCGCGCGCCCCCTAGCGCGGGGACCTCGTAGGAGGTTCGGCCCTCGGCCCGAAAAAAAAAAAGGCGCGGCGGCCTCTTACGAGGTTCGGACCCGGCCCGAAAAAAAAAACATTCTGTATTTGCAAAAAAATCTAGGAAAAAATTGTTAAGACGCGCAGTACGCCGAACTGCAAATCTTATGGGAGATAAAAAGAAACACATCTATAAAATAACGATTAAAATAGAATCCAGAATACTACTATTGCTTATATTATGGAGTTTGGGTCTGGAATTTTTGATGAAGCGTTATACAATGCAATTGCGATCTTGACCCTAAATATCTCAAAGTAGGTAGCATTTATGCATTATTTATTTATGGTAGGATAAGTTCTTTTACCATACATGCCTGCAATGCTAAACAGAAATCAATTTAACTGAATTTTTAAAAGGCAATACATACATATAACCTTGAAAGAAATTTGTTTTACATACCTACATCATAAATGAATTCTTCAAAAGCCACATATTTGTATAACCCTGGACTTTGTGTTGTTCGAGCATTTTTGTAGGTAAATGTTAATAATTTAAATAGGAATTTGATGTATGTGTATACTTAGAGGTATGAGTGTTTATGAAGCGTGTATAGAAGTATACTTTGAACTTACAGAATGTTTGTACATCATTTCAATTACATGATAAATATTACTGTCACACATTACTTTTTTGTCTATTTAAAAATACTATTATGCAATTAATTTTGATATTTTGTTTTTAATAACTTTGTTGTTGTATTTGTATTATTTTCACTAGAATATTGGTAAAGTCTAGATTTTTTTTGTCAAAGTTCACAAATATTCATAATGAAAATTCAACTACCAAGTAATGATAACTTACAGCTTATTGAACTTGTAGTGACACTTTTAAATCAGAATATAAAAAAAAATCTAAGTAAAGCAAACTTTAACATTGTAAAGTGTTAAGGATATTAATTATATTATACAGCTGAATAAGGTCAACAGTCCTAACTCGAAAAAAGTTAAACCTACCTTTAGTAAGTAGTTTAATATTCAACCAAGTAGTAGATCTGGTTATATATCACTAGTGATCTATAAAATGAATTCAAAGAAACAAAAAATATTCAAAAATGTGGAATTTAATTTTTTTTTTTTTTATTCTCATGTATTCAGGTTTTCCTATTAAAATGTTGATTCGAGGACTCTTTTAAATTAGTATTAATAAAGTCTGTGGTTAAATTTCTAGTGAAAAGAGACTTTTAATATAATGAAAATTAGGATGGTCAAAGACAGAAAAGTCTGTGGCATACATAATAGGTAGATAAGTACTATTGACTTCTTGGAGGTCCCAAAGCTGTTGCCTATAGACTACTACATACTTCTCTTTAAAATGGAAAATACTTACAGCGAAAATAGTGTTCTGCAATCCAAAAGGTATCGGCGTGAGTCTCGCGAAGAACACAATCTTAAAAGCTTGAGGTCCCGAGATAACCTTGAGCAGAGCTCTTGCGGTGTCATGCTTTAACAGTTTGTCAAGTGGAAGATACGCTCTTAACGCCTTCAACGTAAAATGCGCGACCGCCACGCCAAAATTAGCACTCACTAACACAGTTCCCATGCCCTTCAGCATCCCGAACAGATATCCGCTCGTTATTATTAAAATTAAATAACCAACAGCCACCGGAAAACTCACGATCAGAAACAGACACATGAACAACAAAAAAATAATCCACGGATCTTGAGCGTCGACCCAATATAAAACAGTCTTTAGATATTCTTTAAAAAAGTACAACACCAAAACGAGACAAGTTAATAAAAGTATTGATATAACTATATTGAACAAGTAACTGTAAGTTGTTTTGTTGTTAATTTTAGACCATAAACTTTTCTTTCTAGTGACCGCAACAGGGTCGGGCTGGCATTCTTCGATGTCAACGATTTCCATTTTTGTGAAGTCAAAAATTCGTAAACATAACTCTTTCAAGTCTTTTTACTTAGCGGTAAAGCCGCACGCGTCATGGCCTGTTCTCTGCCAATGTTTATTTCACGATCACGTATTAAAGTCGAACAGAATCAAAAAACGAACCAGCGACATCAAATTCCGTTCAACGAATGAAAATAGACCAGAACAAACCTATATCACGTAGGTAGGAAGATCTAGATTTATTTGATGACATTTGACATTTGTTTTTATGGTGAGATGTGTCTGATTGATCAGGCAAAGGAAAATAACCCATACCACTAAATTGCTTGAAAAATATGTAAAGTGAAATTTAATTTATTAAAATAATCTTTCAGTAACACGGTAGGAAGTTATTGCTATTGCAAAAATTTAGAAGAATCAAAGAAGTCATACAACCAGTGAATTAATTTCACTTCTCTACTTTTTAAATTTACTGTTACTACCTCTATTTTTTAGTCTGTTTAAGCAGACTAATTAAAAATAAAAATCAGCTATAGGGATGCGGAAGGACCAAAAAGCATCGATCTTGAAAACGCATTCAGAACACGTTCTACCAGTGATTACGGAACATATAATTTTGCGGGTTTGATTTTTATTACTCTGCTATTCTCTCGTCGTGGAAATCAATGGTGAACATTTGTCTGAAACGTTTTCATTGCAAAAATTGGTACACCAAGTCTTAGATTGTTTTTATCGGGCTGGGTGCGGAACGTCTTACGTGGTCTCCGCGCCAATCGGGCGCGCCGTGTATGTGGTATGTTTTTAGGACACTATCAACGAAACGACTCCTCTGCACTCTTGACCCAAACGTCCGATCCCCTCCGAGGTCAGAGGATGAGTTATGGGGGTTATCGCGGTCAACACTTCAACCAGACAGCGTAGCTCACCCCGAGGACACCCGGCCGACGGAGCCTTCGTGATGAGTCGAAGGTTCTGAAATATCAGCCGTCTCGGTACGGCAACCCGTCAGGTTGCCCAGACGGTGCCACTGGTGTCCCGGAATACCCCGCTGGACCAGAACCAGCTTGCCGGGTCGGGACGCGATACACCGCCAACCAATTATATTGTTACGCCGGTAAGAGTAACGCCATCTATCGCCGAATAGTCGACCGAATATAGAAGGATCTAGAATGCTCGAGAATTACAACGCCATCTATTGTCAGATAGCGGAAACCACTACTAGAGAAGTGTGGAATATTCTCGATAATTCTAGGGATGAGATATCGGCTATAAAAGCGTTGTAGGGATGGCACGCAGTCAGTTTACCGGAGTGATATGGGAGTGCTCATAATGAGTGCCCCCATGGGACTGAGCTGTCCACACTCGTCATTTCCCCCCACACTGTTGGGGTGCCCCCTATGGGGACCCATAGCACCACCCCCGTGGGTAGACCACTCCCCCGCCCCCCGCGGGGCCGCGGTACGGGGCTGGTGGCGGGCTCCTCGTGCTTACAGTATTGTACATAATAGTAGTAGTTAGCTTAGTTTAGTTAGGTGACTCCTCCGCGGGCATCATGCCGTCACCAAAACAGCCCATCGTATTATATATATGTATATATTTTTGTCGATGCTATGCAGCCGTACACGCTGCAAACAGCCCTCCCCCTTTTTTAATGTCCCCCCAGCAGCATACCCACCCCTGCCCTGCATGGCAGGGAGCTTCTGCCCGGGTAACGGAGTTCGCCCCGAGGCCCGTTCCGTTATCCCTTAAGGGGATACGACGACCCCGATTGATTGACGCAGTCAGTCAGTCACTAATCGGAACTACTCGAAGCGAAACAGCAAACGGATTATCTGAAGCGAAGCGGAAGAAGCGAATTGAGACTTTTAAAGTGTTTGTTGTGTGTTATCATTGTTTTAAGTGTTTAATACAGTTTTTAAGTTGTACTTTTGTAGAATTTTATTTATCCCGAACCCCAGCGCGTAACAATATTTTAAAATGTTTGGTAGTTAATTTTTTATCCAAGAAGAATATGTCTATCTTTCCAACTAGCAAGACTAAAATCGATTTGTCTATGTATCGATATTTTGTTTTTAAGCGGCTATCAGCATCTTAAATTCACTATCAGACTAATCAGAAACGGACTTTTTGGCGGGATTGCGAGGAGTGAAGTTGTGTGATTTGTTTTATTTTGTCTATTTGGTGTTTCTTCGGGTTTCAATCTATACTAATATTATAAAGAGGAAAGATTTGTTTGTTTGTTTGTTTTGAATAGGCTCCGACACTACAGGACCGATTTGAAAAATTCTTTTTCCATTAGAAGCCGACATTGTCCCTGATGAACATAGGCTACTTTTTTTTTTTTTTTTGTTTCATGTGTGTTTTAATGTTTCCGAAGCGAAGCGAGGGCGGGTCGCTAGTGTGTAATAATGGTAGTTTATTAACTGTTTAATATCTGTGAAAGTGCACAAATGTGGGAAATTGAAACAAAGCCGCTGGATGTAACTTCTCAAGATCCTCCAAAAAGTCCACTGAAAAATCTTAGTAAATGACCACTAATTTACTGAGATTATATTTCATCCCATATCATCTCATTTCATATCATTTAATTTCATCCCAGTTGATTAATGTCTCAAATTAATCATCTTCATTTCATTTCACTCCATATAATCATTTTTCGTAAAAATATGAATATAAATTAAAATAAGACAAGACTTAAAAGTCTCAGTTACAATGTCATAAAATCCCTAAAAAAAAAGACAGATATTGACAGAATCAGTCAGTCCATAGATTATACACTTAATACATAGATTATACACTTAATATATTTGAGTCAATCAGTGTCAGTTCGATTTGCAACGTGAAAAATTCGACAACTTTGCGTAGGTACTTCGTACACCGTGGAAACGTTTTATCTCACGGTAGTATTTATCTAAATCAGTGATGATTATTAAATATATTGCCTGTGTGGGGTGCATTTACTGACTAGAATATATAATTTTTAGTTAATAGTTGTTTTAAATCCATATAAAAAGGTTACAAGACGAAACCTAACCATGCCGCCCAAAAAGCCCAGTGGAGCCAGTAAGAAAACAGAGCAAAAAAAGAAGGAGAAAGTTATTGAGGTAGATATTGAAACACCACTCATAGTTTATAATCATTTGTAGAAATTTGTCACATTTGAAATTTTAACATCAAGCCGTTTAAATTTAAGAAACAATTTTTAAAATCATACCTCATGCAGTAGATATATTTCTGAGCTTAATTAAAAAGTTGCACTGACTACATAAATTCTAACATCTTTAACTGAATTTACTATTATTTAGTAAATTATGTATTGATCATTGAAACCTACGCTATTCAACTAAGAACTTGCAGCATATTCACAAGTGTTGACAATCTGCTTCCCCTATAATGGTATAATGGTAGAAAAAATTAACAAACCATAATTGAAATAGGCAAATAGCATGTGAGGCAGCCAAGAGATAAACTATAACACATTGTTAGTTTGATGTGGTTGTTTGGTTTAACAATGTTTTTTAAGAACTGCAGAATAGAGATAAATTAATATAATGCTATATATGATTTAATAGGTAATTGAAATTAAAAAATCTACTAGTGTGCTTGTAAAAAAAAATTGAATTAAAAAAATCCAGCTCAACAGCCTCAATTTGTTTCGTAGATGAAACTTGTCTTTATGTTTTTTGAAGTCAATGGTACCTAAATGATATATATTAGAAGGTGTGAAATGAATTCATAGAGGAAGGAGTCTTTTGTCATAATTCATGAATACCACATGAAATTAATGTTGACAAAAATTATAAGAGGTAATAAAATAAATTTAATTAATAAATTAAAATTAAATAATAAAAAATAAATTATAATAGATAAATGTATAATAATAATTGTTACAAAACAAATTCTTTAATTCAGGACAAAACATTTGGCTTGAAGAATAAGAAAGGCGCTAAACAGCAAAAGTTCATTCAACAAGTTGAAAAACAAGTGAAGAGCGGTGGAGTACATCCAGTCAAACCTGTTGAGGACAAGAAAAAGGAAAAAGAACAAAAACTCAAAGAGCAGAAGGAGTTGGCGGCACTGTTCAAACCTGTCCAAACTCAGAAAGTTGAGAAAGGTATGTTATGCTGATGTTACATACATGGGACAAATAGAGGTCTCGATCACAAGATCGATGGAGTGTTAGCTCAACTATTCTGTAGTGTGAACATGCCTTTGTAGGTAGTTTGTCCAGCCTCAAACTCACAATGCACAAAAGACTCGACTACCTGCCTTGGTAAAACTGGAAAGGCAGTTGGGCCACCAGTAATCTCTCAAACATAAATAAAAGGATTTACCAAAACACTTGTGAAGCCAGAAGCTAAATGTAATCGCTATCTGGGCCTGAAGGTGACAGTTTGATATTTTAACAGCAGAGGTCATTGTCAGGGTCATTATGTGAAATGGTGGCAGCTACATCATTGCCATTTTGTTATTGCTCTGATATATTTGCTGTTACTTTATTAGTTTTCAAGTTATTAAACAGAAAATGTTGGTCACCGTGGCCGAAATCAGTTTGGAACCATGATAATCATGATGATGATGATGTTATCTTAGTCAACCCTTATAAATATAAAGGTTTTTTTTTTATCAACTATTAAAACGCCCAAGCATGGGATCTCAGTAGACGGTGACATGTTTATTTTCTCATTATTCATGCTTTGTTAAGTTTTGAATTTTGTTAGATTTGACATTGAACTCTTTATTTTTTCTACTTTCAGGTACTGATCCTAAGTCAGTTGTTTGTGCGTTCTTCAAACAAGGACAATGTGCGAAGGGTGATAGATGCAAGTTTTCTCATGATTTGACAATTGAAAGAAAGGTAAAATTAACTTATGTAATGTTGATATGAAATTAAGCAAAAAGAGTTTAAATGTGGCTAGAGATATAAAGGGTTGCAAGGGATGAATTATTTTAAATTTGCCCAATTAAGCTAATATTATTTCAATTGAAATTTCAGGCAGAAAAACGTTCATTGTATGTGGACATGCGTGATGATGATGACAATATGGATAACTGGGATGAGGATAAGCTTAAAGAAGTGGTGGAAAAGAAACATGGTGAAGGCGATAAGCAGAGACCCACCACTGATATTGTAAGTTGTTTTTTTTTTTCAATAGCTCTATTTTTGCACTTGGTCTCTTCTTTTGAGAGGTCCAGAGAACTACGGTCCAATGTAAATTGGTTTTAATTGAAACTAGATATTCACTCATGGATTTGAGTTTGACAATCGTAATTCTACTTGCCTGCTCTTTAACAAATAATATTAATGTTAATTAAATAAAACTCATTTGATTAAGTTGTTAAGGTGGACTAGACTCATGGGGATGGTGACTTCTTGGAGCTAATACATCTCATACCCATGTAAAGAATTCTCTTTAATATATACTTTTTTTAAATTTCAGATCTGCAAACATTTCCTTGAGGCAGTTGAGAGATCAAAATATGGTTGGTTCTGGGAATGTCCGTCAGGTTTGAAGTGTATATACAGGCATGCCTTACCTGCTGGTTTTGTATTGAAGAGGGATAAGAAAAAAATGGAAGAAAAGAAGAACGAAATATCTCTTGTCGATTTAATAGAGAGGGAACGAGCAGCATTAGGACCTNAATTTCAGATCTGCAAACATTTCCTTGAGGCAGTTGAGAGATCAAAATATGGTTGGTTCTGGGAATGTCCGTCAGGTTTGAAGTGTATATACAGGCATGCCTTACCTGCTGGTTTTGTATTGAAGAGGGATAAGAAAAAAATGGAAGAAAAGAAGAACGAAATATCTCTTGTCGATTTAATAGAGAGGGAACGAGCAGCATTAGGACCTAATCAAACCAAAATCACCTTGGAAACGTTCTTGGCATGGAAGAAGAAGAAAATCAGAGAGAAACAGGTTTGTGTAATTTTTGCAAGGGTTCACACACAAATACTAAAATAAAATGGGCAATGGGCAATAAAAAATTAATAAATAAAACCCGCTTATAATGGGCATCTCATTTTTGAATAATGACTGGAACTCCAAAGGCATCGAAATTATGACAGTCTTGCAGTTCCACCTTGATTGACTTGGGGATGCAATAGATAGTATTCCTAACAGTCAGATAGGGGGTTATGGTTTCAATTTCCATTTTCCGTACACATTTGTGTAGCAAACACTGTTTGTCTGCATTGTATGGGTTTTCACTATATAATGTATATTATTAAAGCTGTGTTTGTTTGAATAACGTTAGGCTCTGGTTCCTAAAGTGTAGGGGGATCCTACTTGAGGCCAGATGATAGTGTGTGAATTGCCTCGATTATTTGCAGTTTACCTGGTTAAGGTCTAGGTTAAGATTATCATGACGAAGTTTGGTTTTGTGCAGTGTCATGGCTTTTATTTTTTATTTTTTTAGTTACAGCGGCGAGCTTACAGCTCACCTAGTGTTAAGTGGTTACTGGAGCCCATAGACATCTACAACGCAAATGCGCGACCCACCTTCAGATATAAGTTCTAAGGTCTCAAGTATAGTTACAACGGGTGCCCCACCCTTCAAACCAAAACGAATTACTGCTTCACGGCAGAAATAGGCAGGATGGTGGTACTTACCCGCGCGGACTCACAAGAGGTCCTACCACAAATAATTACGCAAATAAGATATATATAATATATGTGATATGTATATGTCTATATAATGTATAATAATATGTATATTATTAAAGCTGTGTTAAAGTTAAGTTTATCATGACGAAGTTTGGTGTTGTGCAGTGTCATAGATATATCATAATTATACGTTTTGCAATGTTTCTAGGAGGCAATGAACCAGGCTGAAGAGCAGCGTCGCAGCGACTACAAGGCGGGTCGCGCCGTCGGCCTGTCGGGACGGGAGATGTTCTCCTTCGACCCGACGCTGGCCGCCGACGAGGACGCCGAGGACGGAGACGAGGCCGTCGACCTCAGGACCTATGATGAGGAGGAGCTCGACAACACGCAGTACAGGGAGGTGCAGCTCGATCTCATCGGGATGGAGGCCTCCGAGGTAAGATAGCGACGGCTCGCCAGCTGCTTCCACTAATCTACGCAATCGTGTATCAAATCAGTTGTAATATGTGTATATCCGTCTTTAAAATAGTTGAGTCGCCTCGTTGTCGTTCATTGTCCTAACACGGAGACGGACAGACAGCCTCTCGCACGTTCTGGTAATGCAGTGACATGGATCTTGTGACACCTGGCGAAAACTTCCGTATACTGAGACGCCTTTGCCATAGTAATAATTGGCATCATAAACCCCACGGCAGTAACTGAGCCTTTTTATATTTTTTAACGTTCTGTAGTGCATGACAGTGGAGTTACTTTAGACAGCAGATCTTTACGTTGCTATGTGTCATCTGCGTACGGTCGCAAGCTACAACGTTGGCAGCGGCGGGAGGCTCGGTGTTTTTGATGTGACGAAAAGCCGTCAGATTTGGATTACTAGTAACTGCGGGACTAATGTGAAGGGAGTTAAGGTCGATCCCACACTTGATAGTTCAAGCTTGTATGTGTCTGTCGGTCTTTTAACTTACCTGTGACGTCATCATAACAGTACGGGTTAGCTTTCCAATTATTGTAGTAAGGAAACTGACATCAATTACTGTCCGCGCGCGAGCTCCGAGGATTTTTAAGGAATGTTGACGTAATGAGCTAGTGTTGTGATTAGTCGATATTGCGCTATCGATACTAACACATCTTAAGCCTCCGTGCGAGTGTAAATTATAAAATAGTTTTATGAGGGTATTATGTACTTGAAATAAATAAAAAAAAAACAATTGATCACGTATGAATTTCATTTAATGAACTGATTTTTATTGAACAAAATGAACGTGAAATCTTATTAATTACTCTCGCAATCAGATTAATCAGTAGTTGAAGAATTTGATGGACTCTCCTCTTGATGTCACTCTCCTCACATACTTCAATAATAAATGATTCGACAACATCCTCCATTAAACCATCCTTTTGCCAGTAATATTCCTCTAATGCTAAGACATGTTCATTATGCTAGTGCTCGCCATTCCTTTTTCATCAAATTAAATAGCTATTTGTGCAAACAAAAATACTTATAAGTGTAAGACTATTTATATTAGAAATCACACGTAATTAACACTGCTATCGCAAAATTAAAAACAACGAGTCGGTAAACGTACTCTCACGTTAAGGTCAACACTAGTACTGGGAAAGTGCGGGGTATGAAGCGACGGTCGGGCGCGGTGCACGCCCGCCCGCTTCCTCAGCCCCCGAATCCTCGGAGCTCGCGCGCGGAGTATAGGTGTCATCGTGAGGTGTTGAGGAAACAACTATACTAAAGTCTAAAGAGAGACAGTAAAACTAATCCTCGAAAGCCGTCGTTGATTACTTTTTTGTTTTGATTTGACAATGGCCCTTTTCAGGTGGACGATTCCGGTACTAAAGCGACTGAAGATCGCTTGCAGCGCTTCGAAGACGAACTTTCACCTGTGGCAGCGGAGGCCGGCGCCGCACCCATTAACGAGAACCTGTTCCTTGACGAGGACCTGGATGAAGAGCTGCAGAACCTCGACCTGGAAGACTAGGATACAGATCTACACGCCGTACTTTGACTTTACCGTCTTCCCGCTCATGAAATTTTTCATAAATAATATATGGAGTCTAGAAAAAGATATCCCATGTTCTATCTCGTTCTGTTGTGTACGTGTGACTGCCTCAGCGAGCGCGAGCGAGACGCGTTACGGCTCAGACCAATACAAGCGTTGAGCTGATAAGAGACGTGTATACATAAATATATAATTACTTTCAGAAATCATATCAATTTTCAAATGTTTTATTACGGTTGAGTTCGGATCTTTGATAGAAGTGTACTGTTATAAATAATTCGTTGTCAGAATCGGTTGCTATTTAGAAGGATATTTTTTACCAAAAATTAAAATCGCAATGTACAGAGTTTCACGTATGTTCTCCCGGAGCGCCAAGACTAATATAATTGACTTTTATATTTTTATTTATAATGTAAATAATGTATTTTTCGGTGAAGCAGATTGCACGGGCGCAGTAGAGGCACCCCCCCAACCCCCCGCCACGTGAGCGAGCGACAAACAGATGTAAAGTCAGAATACGCGCTAGAGATCCTCTAATGTTAATAGTAATTAATGTTTAAAGCGCTACGTGTAATTTGTGAGACGTCTAAAATCAGACTACGAGTTGATATTTTAAAATCTGCTTCACAAAAGTTAATTTATTCGAAGCGTCTACCGTTTCGCTACGTGATTTGAACTTACGATTAAATTCTTGAGGACTAGTGTGATGCGGTCAGGCTCTTTGTGAATGTCGTGGGTTTTTGGAGTTTTTCCCCGGGGACTTTAAAAAAATATCCTCGGCCCTACATTACGGACATCAACCGATACAAATGTGCGTCCTGGCGTGATCAGCTGCGCTGATGTGGCTCTGCACACGAGGAGTCCGGGGAGATCGATGTGCGTAGTGCGAGTTTTTTAACGTTCTCGATAGCGTAAAAGTTAACTCATATCAGTATGCAGTTGGAACAGCGCCCCTAGCGGCAAACGTAGCCAAACGTTACAAATGCATACAAATTTGAGTTAACTTTTACGCTATCGAGAACGTTAAATAACTCTCACTAGGCACAAAGAGGACTCGATAAAGATAAGAGAGAGATAAAACGGTTCGTCATACTACTGCTATCTGCACGTTTATATGTCAAACCATTGAAACTTAGCATTTTATGAATGTGCCTAATATGTCAATAACATTGTCAGTGAAGGCGATTCTAAACTAATCATTCTCTTAATAATGAAATTACAGTTTCGAAGATAAATCGTTGTAAATGCTTGTCATTGCGTTTCGTGAATATAAAAAACTATTGATAGTAAAGATATACAATACGGTGTCTGTACGTAACAAAACAATGTTTTTTTTTATGTGTATACGCCGGTAACCGTAACGAAATGCACTTAAATTATTTTCATCATGATTTTCTCTTAAAAATAATATGATTACATAGTTTAAATTTTTTATGTGATTAATAATAGTTGAAAGAAATACCTACTAGATTTTATTTTGTAAATACAAAGTAAAGATGATTTTTGTCGTTGTCTTGATTTTAATTTATCTAGTATTAGAGGTTATGCTGGCGTAAACCATCGCGTAGGTGAGCTCTCGGGGCTCAAACCGGGAGTGTTGCTAACACTGGCCCTAGCAAGAGCAGTGCTTGGCAGAATCTACCACCGGATAGAAAACGCGACCCACTGAGAAGATCCGCCGAGAAACTCAGTGGGCTGTATCTGTGGGTTCATTTACTTGCCGAACCCTTCGTCGCAAGAGACGGGTTCGACGAGATCGATGACCGGTGCTTGGGGTACCTAAAATCACCGTTAGTGGATCCGGTAATTTTTTGGAGTAATTTGTAACTTATGTTTAATAAATAAATAAAAATTCAAATGATTCATAGCTCATATGAATTATAAATGAAACGGTCTCATTGCAAACAATGGCAGCACAGAGCGGAAGACATATCGAAGATTCTATCGAGAGCATGTCGCTGTCTAGCCACCGACAAGGCTTATCCTGGAATTGTGATGATGCGACTCGCGTTTGACTCCATGAGACCGGACAGAACAAAGAAATTTATTTGGAAAATATACTTATAGTATCTAAAAACATTGAACGGCACTCTATGTAGCTGCTGTGCCGGCCACCGCATTGACCACAAGTACAAAGTGGCAACCCTACGTAGTACAAAATAATAATGATTAAAATTAATACTAAATGGTTTTAAGTAAGTACTTTTAATTAAGTATACGAATCGCAAAAGTACTACAAAGAGTATTGTTTATGAAATGATCTTGTCTTCCTATTCTGTGGGGTTTGTTTACAAACATTTAACATAACGGCATACTCTTGGTGAGCCGTATGATCGACTGCAAATTAAAAGGGAAATGAAATAAATAAAAATAAGTGTTAAAAAATTTTCAATAGGGATGGTAAGCTTAAAAATGTAAAGTCTGTTAAAAATGGCAATACTATATTATATAAAAAAAAACTCTTCAAAACGATTGCTGTAATAAAGGGAGCCGTTTGTCTTGCTGGTGCTATAAGTGAGGATGACCACACATCTGAATAGGCGGACCATATGCTTTCGAAGATGCTAAAACGTAAAGTACAGCATGCAAACAAGATCCCAATGCATTTCAAAATGTTTTGTGGGAGTTAAGTGAACACAAAAAAGTAGGCTTTTTTATTTTGAACAAAGTTATAATTTATTCAGTCACTATATCGACATTAGACATTGGTATTTAACGATTCAAGTCTACGAGTAGTAAACGTCAATTTGTGTAAAATATTGTTTAAAATTGTTTCCCAGTCAGAAAGTTTCTAAATATTAGTGGCCAACCATCTTGCTGGATTGTCTATAGTAATCCTGTCTATGGTATCTTGAGATATTCCTTTGAGCGCCATTTTCGGCAGCACAGTGTTTATGATGTGAGCGTAGCCGTGGCCACCGAATGCCGTCTGTGAAATATTAATTTTGATTACTTAAATTATATTGAGGTTAGACGCAAAGAGCACAGTCCATGTATGAAAAAGTGTCCGTTGAAAAGCGACCAACCAGAGCGGCGCCACCGTAGCAAGTCAAAAATAGCGCCAAATGTGTATAATAGCGTCATTTCAAAACAAAAGAATATAATGTAATATATATGGAAACTCAGTGGGCTGTGTCTGTAGGTTAATTTACTCGCCTAACCCCTCGTCGCAAGAGATGGGTTCGACGGGTTACAGGTAAGCGACGGGTTCGATGAGAAGTTTGTTACATTGCGCCTTCGCTAGAAGTAATAGTGTTCTGTGCATTGCGCGCAGTTCACTAATGGTGTCAGGAAACAGTACCCTGCTTAGAACCGATATAGGCTTACCAATCTATGTTTAGTGTGAATGTCGTGGGACATTAACACTTTATCAGATTTCCCGTCGTCGATCAACAATTTGATTTTGTCAATCCGCTGCCCGTCTGATGGCATGTCAGCCGCCGGGTTCAACTGGTAGAATGAGACTTCCACGCCAAACAAATCGAACTGACAGTAAGTACCGAGCTCAGAGAATTCTAGTAATTTGTCGTCTTCAAGTAGGGTTCCTGAAAATATGTTATTACAAGAAAAAAGTATGAAGAATTCTTAAATTGATAATTCAAATAAACCGTCTTACAGATTCGGCTTAGGGCATAAAATTTGGCAGTAGTTTGTGGTGATTATAGACCTTTTATGCAGGGTATTTTTTATGAAACACGCTTATCTGTTCTATATAATTTTGAAATTAACGTTTCAATCAGATTTATAAAAGCCTTTTTTAAATTGTTTTCTGCTCTCATTTTATTATTGTTGTTCTTTTTTGACTTCTTCCAAATGAGTAACGGCCTTTTTACTCGCCACAAGCTATTAGAGAATCTACTGAATTTTTTTATTAAATTGTATAGAATTTCTTCTCAGCATATCACGATCATCATTATCTCCGCCTACAGCTGTCCACTACTGAACATAGGCCTGTCCAATCGACCTCCAGGTCTTTTTTTTTATTGCCCTTGCCCGAGCATACGGCCCACCTGATGGTGAGTGATTACCGTCGCTCATGGACTTCAGCAATGCCAGGGACAGAGCCAAGCCGCTGCCTACCGTTAAGTACTCTCCACAAGCCTCTTTTGAAGCGTCATAGCGCTCGGGAAATACCGTGGAGGAGAGCTCATTCCAAAGCCGGATGGTACGTGGCAGAAAAGATCTCTGGAAACGCACTGTGGATGAACGCAGTGGCTCCTGGTAGTATGGATGACTCTACTCCGGTGGCGGGCGATGCGATGGTAAAAACGAGATGATGGTATCATCTCAAACAATTCCTCAGAGCATTCGTCGTCGGTCCGTTTGGTAGATGACCGTCTCACATAAATTTATTTATTTGAATGCTTATAAGATGTACACATGTTCACGTTTAACATTACTTATTCAAACGAAGTCCATGTAACGACGACTTACGGTCTAAATGCGACATGACAACTTTATCCTTGCTTCCTCCGGCCTCAAGGTACAGACGAATGATTTCAAATGGAGCTTCGATGGCGCGGTGAGGATGGAAACTGACACCACAGCCGACTTGCGGCTGCAGCTCACCGGCAGCTACGATGGCTCTACGTTCAAACTCTATGAAGAGGAAAACCGTCTTTCGTATTTCTTTTTCGTATACGATTAGTCAAACTGAAATTCTCTGGTCAGGAATGAAGTTAAAGTTAAAAAGCGTATTTAAAATATGATTATGAATATATATATTTTTTTATTGCTTAGATGGGTGGACGAGCTCACAACCCACCTGATGTTAAGTGGTTACTGGAGCCCATAGACATCTATAACGTAAAAGCGCCACCCACCTTGAGATATAAGTTCTAAGGTCTCAGTATAGTTACAACGGCTGCCCCACCCTTCAAATGGAAACGCATTACTGCTTCACGGCAGAAACAGGCAAGGCAATGCAAAGAAATAGGCAATATGATTCACAACGACCAGATCCACAAACGTAGCCATTTCTGCTGGGAAGCAATCCCGTTCTGATGGTCTTACTCACGTTGCGTTACCTATAGGTTCCGATAATAACACCAAGTGAGCAGTGAGCTCATGTAACCGGCTAGTACAAATAAAAAGTTTCTCATTATTCGAATAAACTTCATTTCGTTCCACAGGAAGTCGTTGTGGCCTAAAGGATAAGACGTCCGGTGCATTCGTATCTTGCAATGCGCCAGTGTTCGAATCCCACAGGCGGGTATCAATTTTTCTACTGAAATATTTACTTAAGAATGTTCACGATTGACTTCCACGGTGAAGGAATAGCATCGTGTAATGAAAATCAAACGCGCAAAATTATAATTTGCGTAATTACTGGTGGTAGGACCTCTTGTGAGTCCGCGCGGGTGGGTACCACCACCCTGCCTATTTCTGCCGTGAAGCAGTAAAGCGTTTCGTTTTGAAGGGTGGGGCAACTGTTGTAACTGTACTGAGACTTTAGAACTCATATCTCAAGGTAGGCGGCGGCCTTTACGTTGTAGATGTCTGTGGGCTCCGGTAACCATTTAACACCAGGGGGGCCGTGAGCTCGTCCGTCTATCTGCATGCATGCAATGAAAAATAAATAAAAACATTATAAATGGTATAGCGACTCCCAAATATTATTATTAGCTATTATAAGAATTTACCAACCTCTTAATGGCCAAACACTGGCTATTTCTCCCATGAACCCAGCCTTCACACTAGGTTCCTCAACAAACCCTGTTGTAAGTTCAGTCAACATGTGATGATACATTTGCTCCGTTGTTTTGCTAAGGTTGGCCTTAGCTTGAACGTCCTCGACATAGAAGCCGGTGCCCGCGACTATGTTTACGTCGCTCTTCTCCGATACCAACTTGTAAAAGTTTACATCCCGATCAAGACCAACCGTCGAATTTTCCACTATTGTACCTGGAGACGATCCATATTTAAATAATTTGGTGATGAATGCGTGGAATTACGTAATTGAAGTCGTCATAGCCTAAAGGATAAGACGTCCGGTGCATTCGTATCTAGCGATGCAATGGTATTCGAATCCGGCAGGTAGGTACCAATTTTTCTAATGAAATCCGTACTTAAAAGCATAAAATTTTTCAAAGTGTTAGTAAAAGTTGCGGTGCCATCAGTTAAGCTACAAATTATCAGGCCTTGTCAGCCATACGACATACCTACAATTTTATACGAAAAAGGTGGACGACGACGCCTAAATCTCACTGAAAACCGGTCTGTTCTGTCAGCCACATTTGGCTTAGTTGGTTAGAAAAATGTGAGCCATATGTGGCTGACGAGGCATTATATGTGTTAATAAATGTTCAATGTTGACTTCCACGGTGAAGGAATAACATCGTGTAATAAAAATCAAAACCAGCCAAAATTATAATTTGTGTAATTACTGGTGAGGACCTCTTGTAAGTCGGTACGGGTAGGTACCACCGCCCTGCTTATTTCTGCCGTGAAGCAGTAATGTGTTTCTGTTTGAAGGGTGGGGCAGCAGTTGTAAATATTGAGATCTTAGAACTCATAGCTCAAGGTGGGTGGCGGCATTTACGGTGTAGATGTCTATGGGTTTCGGTAACCAGTTAAGACCAGGTAGCACGGAAGCTCGTCCACCTCTTTAAGCAATATATTTTTGGAATGCGAATTGTTGAATGCACGTGCAGCGACATCTGTTGATAACAAACTAAATAGAAAAAAAATTACGTTACGGACGTTTTTTCCCGGTTAGGGTACCCCTCCGCATCGTCCCATAAGGAACTTCGATCAAGTAACAATAATTAAATTGCTCTTAAAGATGTATATGTTATTTTCAGTACAACGAACACTCACCTCCACCGAACTTCTTGTACGCTATAACATCATTTACAACTGCCTCCTTAGCTGCCTGATCATTCAATACCAAATTACCCTTAGAACTGTAAGGGAATTGTCTTAGAAATCCAGATTTTTCCAGACAAAAGGGGTTCTCGAATACATCGACAATTTGCTTTGGTGGCTCTCTGTAGAAGTGGGTGAAGGTCATCGCTAGATGCTCGTGAGTTAAAGTTCGACCCAAGGCACTTATCGGCACCGGCCCCAACACTAAAATGACCGTAAATAACAATTAAATGCATCTTTCACTCTTTTGGATTTGAATCATAAAAATAACTTCTGGTAAATAGAGTTTTAGACACAGTGAAAATCTGTAATAGTTATGGAACTTAATCAAATTACATGTAGGCAATCGCTTCTGATAAAAAATTGCATTTTTGTTTTACGCAAACATTAGCTATAAAAACGTATATTAATCAAAATTTACTTACCAGTTTCTACTTTTGAAGTCATTTTATTCAATAACACTTAATACAAGTCGAACCTTAAAAACTCTAATTGGAAATCCTTATCAACTCGAAAATAAAGAAATATTTAATGTTCACACTTATCGTGAGGTGTTTATCGGTACTGTAAATAAACAAGTGAATTTATTCAAATAGAATAAAAAACAGCACAAAACTGTATAATGTTACCGTCCTGCTGTTATTGTGTATAAAACGCGTTGTATATTATCTGCCGCTCTACATTCGACCTTCAATGAAAACTAATTTTAGTATGGCGCCGTTTTTCAAATGAAATTACCATGACTACGACACAAATATTTCATTATATTGAACAGTTTTGACTGTATAACAAACACTAACCTTTAGTTGTAATACTAACATTATTGTGGTTTAAATATGCCGATAATTGTTAACGATTTTACTTGGACACAAACTGAAACTACAGTTCATATTAGGATCCCATTAAATCCGGGGAAACATGATAAAGTAGATTTGTTTACCACGGACTCTTACATAAAAGCGCATTTTAAACCATTTCTTTTCGAAGTCTTCCTACGATACGATGTTAACATCAGCAAAAGTAAATGTATTATTAATGACGACGAAATTACTTTGGATTTGATAAAAAACAATGAAGAACTGTGGGATAGTCTAGAAAAGAATTTGAGTAAAGAAGAAAAAAAGGTTCTAAGGGATGAAGTTTATAAAAAGAGCCAAGAAAGGGCAAAAGAAGATGCGGAAAACAGATCTATTAAAAAAAGTCAGTTAGACAGGTTTACAGTACAAAGAGCTATGGATTTAGATACAAAACAACATGCTCTGATGGATTCCAGAAGAGATCACGAGAGATATCAAGCTATGAATGCTTTGGAAGAGTGGAGACAACAGACAAACAAGAATGATTATGATGTAAGTGAAAGCGGTGTTAAAATTACCGAACTGTCAGAGAATGAGCCTGTAAAAGTAAAAATAAGTACAGAAAAAGCACAATCAAAAGTGCGACCCCAAGCTACAACCCCAAGAGCACCTTTGAAGACACCTGTGAAGTCGGAATTTGTAGAAAAAAAGAAGAAAGAAGCAGCAACTAGAGTTTTACCGAAATTGAGGCAAACCGCGCACTTGGAAATAACTCACACACCCAGATCATTTCCAACACCGAGCAGAGAATCCACAGCAGAGGAAGAGCAGACTTGGTTGAAGAACATCACCATGGCTCGTAGAGCTACAGGTGTGTACGTATTACGATTCTTTCCTTGAGTTTCAAGTTTTTTCATTATTATTTTTTTGCTTAGATGTGTGGACGAGCTCACAGCCCACCTGGAGTTAAGTGGTTACTGGAACCCTTAGACATCCACAACGTAAATGCACCAACCAACTTGTGAAATAAGTTCTAAGGTCTCAAGTATAGGTACAGCGGCTGCCTCACCCTTCAAACCGAAACACGTTACTTCTTCACGGCAGAAATAAGCAGGGTGGTGGTACCCACCAGCGCGGACTCACAAGAGGTCCTACCACCAGTAAATCACAAGAGGTCCTACCACCAGTAAAAAATTTGAACATTTTGATGTGAAACATCTATAGCCGCACATAAAACCGATTTCTGGCGTGGCGACGCGTCGCCATGCGCAATCGACTGTGCGATTCTCTTCCACTCGATCCGGCGTTAAGCCATCTCTCTCGCTACACTGAGCTCGGATACCTATAGTGTATACTCCGTAGTGTATACAGTGTTGTTTACTACAGTACACATAACCTGTGTTTTACTTGAAAACAAATTATTTTTTCGTAATATTTTATTTTATCATTATGACATATTTAGTTCCTATCACAATCTGTTCTTTTCTGCATATTACTTTNTCTCTCGCTACACTGAGCTCGGATACCTATAGTGTATACTCCGTAGTGTATACAGTGTTGTTTACTACAGTACACATAACCTGTGTTTTACTTGAAAACAAATTATTTTTTCGTAATATTTTATTTTATCATTATGACATATTTAGTTCCTATCACAATCTGTTCTTTTCTGCATATTACTTTTACAAAATAATGTCGACGTTTCATATCTGCCAGACGTCCCGTGACGGCTCACATTTTTTATTATATTCACTTTCCTTCAGCGATATGTTATAAATCTACAAAGCTCATCTTTGTTTTATTCTCATAGAATGTTTTGCATTAAAAGGTTTCGTATCGGAAGACTTAAGGCCAGAGGAACAAGACCCTCAGTGGTGCAAAGAGAAGGGAGACGAATTCTTCCGCAACGGTAACTTTTTGGGAGCAATCAGTGCGTACACTCATGGCATTAAGTTGTCCGCGAAGTTGCCCAGTTTGTATTCGAACAGGGCTGCTACGCATTTCGCCCTTGGAAATTTTAATAAATGCGTAAGTTTCCTTACAAATAAATTATTATCACTTCTCAATTTGTTATTACATATGTAGTACAAATGGAGCTTGTTGTGTAGTCATTTTTAACAGTCATCAAAAAATTCATTCATTTTGAGACAAGAGTTCTATAATTTCAATCTTAACAGTATAACGGCTTTGAAACCGAAACGAATTACTGCGTTACAGCGAAAACAGGTAGGGTGGTGGTACCTACGCGTGCCAACTTATAAGATGTCTTACTGCCAGGGAAAAGGTGAACCGACTTTGGTGATCCCTTTTTATTTTGAAAGTTGATGCTACTCATGTGGTCTTATTTTATTAAGATCTGACCAGTAGTTTTCCAATCATCTTTAATAATAAATTGACTTCCAACTACATTGATGATATTCGTGTTCTATTTTATTAAAGTACGTATTCTTTTGTTAATCTATTGCTTTTGTATTTTTATTATGTTAAGTCAACAAAACGACGGTTTCACGACATAAATAGTCTGGAACGAGCTTCGCTGGGAGCATTTCCAACTGAAGTCATTTACTATTATGTCACTCGCAGGTAAACGACTGCTCCACGGCGTTAGACCTCTTGAAGCCGGCGTGTGAAGGGAACCGTCAGAGTCGAGCTAGATGCATCGCGAGAAGGGCCGCGGCTCTGGCCAGACTCGGCTATCTGAACAAAGCCATTGTGGAAATGAAAGCGGCCAGTAGATTGATACCCGATGACCAAAAAATTAAGAAGGATATTTACGACATGGAAAGAGCTTGGGAACAAAATCCGGATTCCGATTGAAACTAATTTCTTCTATTTATTAAGGCTCTTTGAAATTTCCAAAGACTTTCAATTCGGAAGGTAAATGAAACAATTTTTTGCAAAAAAAACCGTAGTATAATTATTAATTACTAGGAATAAAGTTTACAATACAATTACATTTCTAATTTTAAATGCTCTTTCGTTTTATTCCTCTAATACTTTCGTTTTGGGTAAGCCAAGGTTTTTAAGTAGTGCGTGCGGCGAGGGATCTCGTCCGCGGAACCTCCTGAACACTTCGCTGGGATGACAGCTCCCGCCGACAGCCAAAAATGTGTCCTTGTACCGTTTGCCGACAGCCAAAACGTCCTGGTCGGCCTTCCTAGCCTCTTCAAAGGCACTGTAAATATCGGCGGCGATCATTTTCGACCACAATCGGCAGTAGTACGCGGCCGCCCACTCTTCGCTGAATATCTTCGTGAACGATAACGGATGGGAATCGTATTTGTCGAACGGCAACGCGTTGTATTTCGGCCACAGCTCTCGGACTATGTCCCTCCAGAAGTCCTTCCGTGAATGCAATTCTATGTCGAGTTTCGAGAAGTACAGTTCCCTGGATAGATTGAAACCGGCCATGTGACTCCGGATGTTTTGAAGATTTTTCACTATGTCTTCGGGGAGAGGTTCGTCTGTATTATAATGACCACTGACAGCTCTGATCGTATGCGGATCATAAAGCCAATGTGACATAACCTGCCCGCAGACTTCGGCCGCATCCCACTCGACATTAGACAATCCGGCTACTTCAGAATAATTTGCCTTTGTGAGTAAATGCCTTAATGAATGACCAAATCTTTGGAACAGCACTCCAACTTCATTGAAAGACAATAAGGACGGTTTTCCTTCAGCGGGTGCTTGGAAATTGAAGATCAGTGCAGACAGAGGCAGTGTTGACATTGATGTACATTTGTTACGTATTGAAATGTGCCAGCCTGCATCGTCATAGACGCGAATCTTTTGGTCCTGCCGTGCGTAAGGATCCAGATAAAACCCAGCTATTGGTGTATTACTTGAATCATCATAAATATCATAAAACTTAACATCCTTGTGCCACGTATGGACCTGACCCGTTCTTTCAACAATTTCGATTTTGAACAGTGTACTACATAAATTGAATAGGCTCGTTATAACTCGTGGTAGTGGGAAATATTCTCTTATCTTCTCTTCATCGAAGCCATAAAGGGACCATTTTTGTTTCCGTTGCCAGTATGGAATATCCCACCATTCAAGTTTCGAATCAAAGCCTCTTTCTTTCGCGTAGCGCTGTAGTAGCTCTATTTCAGCATCTTGCATAGATCGAGCACTGTCGAGTAAACTATCTAGTATATAATTGACATTGTCAACAGAACCAGCCATCTTTGTTTCCATGCTCATATCAGCATATGTTTCATAGCCTAATATATTTGCTTGCTCCATTCTGTAACTTCTGATATTGTCTAAATTGGTTGCAGTTTCGATTTCCTTACTCACATAATTGGAGCATCTCTGAACATGAGCTTGCCAGGCATTCCAGCGTAGGTTCCGATCTGGGCAATACTGCATGAATGGTTCATAAATANCAGCCATCTTTGTTTCCATGCTCATATCAGCATATGTTTCATAGCCTAATATATTTGCTTGCTCCATTCTGTAACTTCTGATATTGTCTAAATTGGTTGCAGTTTCGATTTCCTTACTCACATAATTGGAGCATCTCTGAACATGAGCTTGCCAGGCATTCCAGCGTAGGTTCCGATCTGGGCAATACTGCATGAATGGCTCATAAATATGGGATTGTAGGGTCATCTTCCAGGGACCTCTTTCAGGATCATTGCCAACTGTCATAGCTTTAACCAAGCTTTCCGGGAACTGTCTAATAAGCTCTGCATTTCTAATATCAGTTGTGAACAACTTGTTTGCAGTGTTAACTTTTTCACGAAATATCTGCCTCTCCTTCTGTAAAGATGTCAGAATATTGTTCAACCTTTCCCTCTTTGTACCTTTGATATCCAAGCCATTAAGTTTCCCTTCAAGTATGTATTTATCCAATAATCTCTGTTCTTCATCTGTGAGTTTTTTAAGGCGGTTCTTTTCATTGACGGCCGCTTGGAAGATTGGTATGCTCGTAAACTTAGTTGATCTTGCGTTGTGTGCTCGTTCATGTATCTGTATGTAAGATTTGGTTGGCATGAGAGAGCTATTACCCAGGTACAGAGTCTTTGCCATTCCCCAAGTTAATTCTAAAAGAGTGTCGAGCTTTTCTAAAGGCTGGAAGATTTCAACAAATGCATTCTTGCAATTTGGTGCTGAATATTCAATTTGTCGGACTCCATTTTCATATTCTAGACTTTGTTTGCTAATTGTTGCAATACATTTTTCTATTGACATTTCATTGAACTCTGGTAAACCGTTCTCTGACAGGAGAGTATTTTTATCTGCATCTTCTCCGATCTCTGGGATACTGAAATGTGAATAAATTAATCCTTTTGAGTTTGTAAGAACGGTTTAATATTTAAAACTAGTTTTACAGTTTAATGTTGCATTTACTATTTTCACTTTCTTATTTTTGAAAATTTGAATACATTAGTTATTGTGGTCACAGATGTGGTTGGGGTGGTAATTGTACGAATTAATCTATTATTTAGCAAAAATGTAGCTCAACTTTTAGGTTTCTTTACACACAAGTCAAACTAATAGTAATTTAAGTTGAAGTTGGGTTGATTTGGTTTTTTGATTATCACAAGATTAAGCTGTTACTGGTGAAAACTGAAGAAAATTGTGTAGTCATTGTAGATTATGAGTTACAGTTTAAAATATAGGATAACAAGTACGCAAATAAGCTTCCTATGTAATTAAGTCTCAGATCTTAAATTTTGAAGTGGACAGTGGTGTTTCATTTTTATATACTTGTCTATAGGCTTCTTAATCGTTTAATAGTCAGGCAGGCTGTGAGATTTTGACACCACACAAAAGCTTAATTGCTTGAAAAATTTGTGTAGTGTATTTCATCCACAATATCTAACCTTTTAATTTTGATTTTTTTATTTAATTGAGAAGGTCGTTAGATAAATATTTTTTTATATTTATTATAAAAATTTTAAAGTCAACCATGTGTTCTTTTTTGAAGTAAGTAAGTATTGGAGAACATCATAAACTATACTAATTTTGAAGCTTAATTGTTGTTTTTCGAGAAAATAGCTTATTATATGAACAGTAATATTTTTTATGTATTTTTTAATAAATTTCTCAGTAAATCTAGATATTTTAAATTTACTTACAGTACGACATATCCCGAATTCCTTTTATTTTGATAAAACTGTTTTCTAGCGTGTCTGCTTATTATATGTGTACGAAAAAACGACAGGGCCATATTTTTTCTGTTATTATCCTTTACAGTTCACGCTGTACTATTATTACAATTTATTTCATAATCATAAAATAGCAAACTGAGAATAAAAATTGTGATTCTGATCGATGTCTTTGGATTTATTTTGACATTGACACATAAATTGATTAACTGTTGACAGTTGTGAATATAGACAAAAGCTTAGTTCTCAATCTTCGCACGGCATGAATTGCCATGAATTTAGCGAAAATGCGCTCGATTATTCTTTAACCATACATTCAGAGGTTCATTTTGGGATTGTCGATCACAGTTTGAAGTGATAACTAGCTTGAGATATTTGACTATTTCATCCACGTTTACACAGACGACGTGACGGCAACTTAGAATAGCGCGGATCGTGACTATTTAGTTCATTATTTCGATGGAAAAATGTTTTTGATTTTCTCCGGCTCCTTGACTTGAGTAGAAAACGGGTATAAATCACGAATGAAATATTTAGAGTTCGTAGTGCGAATTGATGGATCAATTATAGTAAGTGTATAATCTATGACTGAGATCTTTTTTTTTTTATTGCTTAGATGTCTGGACGAGCTCAGCACAGCCCACCTGGTGTTAAGTGGTTACTGGAGCCCATAGACATCTACAACGTAAATGCGCCACACACCTTGAGATATAGTTCTGAGGTCTCAGTATAGTCACAACGGCTGCCCCATCCTTCAAACCGAAATGCATTACTGCTTCACGGCAGAAATAGGCGGGGCAGTGGTACCTACCCGTGCGGACTCACAAGAGGTCCTACCACCACTAAAAAGTTCAGATCGTTACATAATCACAAGGAAATAATTGCAGTCACAATAACCGAATCCGATACATAAGAGATTAGTATCGCTATTTATCATGAAGTATGTTAGCCATTCTGGCCAGTTATTATTTTTATTTTTATTTTTATTTTTTATTGCTTAGATTATTAGGTCAATTACTACAAAACTAGTGATAATAAAGAGTAAGGTAGATGCGATTAACATTATACACAAGTTTGAGTAGGTCAACTATGTCATATTTATACCTGAGTTGCTTCCTACCGGTAGGATTATTATTTTTAAATTTCCTTTGCATATTATAGCAAAGAATATCTCTGATGACGTACCGTAGATGAGGGCAGTATTTCCAGGTATTATGGATTAACTCTGCTACGATGGCGAGTGACTGAGAATGATGTGGATATTAATACATAAAGAATCTTAAGAATTAAACTAAAGGTTTATATAATCCAATAATTTATTCAGTATGTTTTGGGGTTAAAATAACAAAATCGTTTTTTTCCGGTTCTTTTTCACCAGTTTCTAGAGTAATATTAATCATTTCACAAGAACATAAAACATTGCAAGCTCCACAAGTTGGTATGTTTTTTCGTTCCAGCTCGTGTGTTACAGTTTCTTTGACTGGAGGATGACAGCAGAAGTCCGTATCCAAACCCATTTTCTCTCCATCTTCCAAAGTCTGCGGCAGATTCTGGTTCAGTGTTTCGGGAAGGAGTAAACTGGCAATACCTCCCGCTACGAGTAACGCTCCCATTATAATTAATGGGAGAACCATGATATCCGAGCCCTTAAACCAACATAATCGACTAAATAACGTAGTTAATAGGTAAAATAATATTTCGATGATGCATGTTTTACTTTATTAATAATATTATAGAAACGGAGCTAAAATAATATTGAAAGTACGTTTTTCATACATCGTAATATAACATTTTGCTATGGCAAAAGAGGGTGTAAGTAAATTTAATTAGCGAACAGTTGGAAGTTTGCATTGTTTCTATGTCTCTTATTAATAATTTACGTAATTATATAACATCAATAACCACCACGACTTTAAAGTAATGGGAATAAATTCCTATTGAATCAAGACTTGACCATAACCTGGTAACTGGTAACAGTAGCATTGGCTAATTGTGTGTAAAGTTCACGCCATGAGTTTTTCAGCTGCAAGCTAAAGCTCTTCGTACTTAGATCAGAACCAACCAATTGTTCATATGTCTGTCACAAACATGCATGCAAGATTTAGATGTTTGTAGTATTTCCCCTTAACCTGTACCAATAGGTTAAAAAAAAAGGTTTTAAGCAAGCAGACGCAAAAAAATGCTTTTTTATGTGTTCCTCTTTTATTTTAAGAATCGGGCCCCGAAAGATACATTAAACTTTTTAAAATCTTAGGTACGACGCTGTAGACCAATATTGAGAATTATTTTCAAGTCACCCGAGGTTATTTAAGGAATAGGCCATGCAAAATTAAGTTCTTACCAAGTAATTCACAAGCGGTATGAATATAGGTCCGAGCATGCCCAGTACTGAGCTGAGACTCATACCGAGACCTCTGACCACTGTGGGATACAACTCCGAAGCCATCAATGGTAATACCACGAATGATGATGAAATGCCCATCTTTCCCACGCAGTAAAGTGCGAGAGTGACGTTCGCTTCTGAAATAACGTAAGGCATAAACATTTAAACATAAACGGTTCGACTCCGACATGTCCCGCCCGCCATCCCCAGTGGAAGGCGGAAGTCCGGCGATTTCCTCCTGACAAAAAAAAAAGGTTGTTAACATTGTCATTCATCGAGGCTCGAGTCAGAACCGGATATAGTTGGTCATACACTAATCATTTTGTGGATTTTAGGACTATTAATAGTCTTTGCTTCATTTGAATAATCTACATAGTATATTTTAAGCTATTTGCTAAGCGTTTTCTTTTAAGGGATTCTTTGTTGGGGTTTGTTATTTCGAATGGCAGTAGCTCGATTGATCTACTATGTCCATAGCAGTGGTGACCACTTTGAGTCAGATAAGACGTATGATGTTGAGGAGATAAATTGGAATGGGCGATTGGTGTGCTGAAAAGGGTAATTATCATCTGCTCTTTCTGTTTATTTTTAGTGCATCTAACTACTAATAGGCCAATTGCTAACAATTGGCCTATATTTATCATTAAAGTAGTTTTGAGCTGGTCGTTTCGCGTGCGTGCCTTAACACTTTACAATCGCGTAGTCTTATGTTACGTTCGTATTAATATTCGAAGATTAATATGGATCAATCACTTACACATTGTCAATATCATGTCAATATCGGCATTTTATTAATAATCGGACAAGTCTTTGAACTAATTGTTTGATTTTTAAAGTCAACATAAAAATTAATAATCAATTTACCATGTTGCACTAAAAACGTGGTCAAACAAGCCACTCCACCGACCACCATACTCATGCACAGAGTCCAACGTCTCCCGAGTCTCTCCATCGAAGGCCACAGAAACAGATACGTCGGCAGCTCCACTACACCAGCCAGGAAAAAGTTCAAAAACTCATCACCTCCAAGGACGGGCGCGTAATACGACAGCCCAACGTATACGCTGGTATTGGTGAACCAGATAAACGTGATGATGATAGTTTTCTTCCTCAAATTCGGTGTTCGGAAGAGGTCCATGATGCCGTACTTCCGTGCCTTGAACTTTTTCACTTCGTGGTGCTGTTTGTCAGTTTCGTACTTCCGGTGAAGGTGTACCATATAATTGGCTGGCAGAGATTTACCGTTGATCCTGATGATTTATAAGTATGTCCATAAAAAAGAATAGTTTTACTAATGCCCTGCCATTGTAAGTACTCAAAGCCCAGTGGTATGTGTGTAGAGCAGCGGCTCTCAAACTTTTATACTCAACAACGCACAACATAACAAAATATTTACAAATTCGCAATAAGCTTACGTAAGTACGTGCAAAAAATTTTGTACTAGGTAGGTGATAGGTAAATTATACATTGTTAATCTATGAAACGTAGTTGTACAATTAACGTCTGGTGAACAGTTGTATAATGAATGTATGTGAACCCCAGAGATGCAATTCTCCCCGGAGTACCTTAGGAAAAAATGTCGTATTGGAAATCTCGCGAAATACTTGATAGGTGTTTGCGACACACCATTGGGTCGCGACACGATGCTTGAGGGCCGCTGTATCAGTTAAAGCTTGCTTTGGTTTTAGTATGCTTTCAATATTTTTCTAAAGTCAGTCAAAAGTTCTAAACTTCTTTCTTACCATTTTTGAATGCAATTAATAAATGACAATTTTCCTTTTGTTTCTACTCTTCTAATTACTCCCTAAAATAATGCTTTTGATCTCTAAAACCAAAACTTCTAATTAAACCGTATACTATATTAATGAAATCGGCATAAAAATAATTGGAATTAAATATTGCATCTTATAATTAAGATTTTGATCCTTTTTCACAAAAAGCTAAAAAGGTATTCAATAACAACGTAAGCTGTATTGCCTATATACCTACCTACTACAAAATTGTGATAAATTGTCACTTAGTAAGCTTAAAAAGTAAGAAGATAACAAAATACCTGGCCATCGTTTTTAATATAGCCTCCGCTTTGTCGAACTGTCCCCTAGCGAGTAGCCATCTCGGGCTTTCCGGCATCGGCCATAAATACAAGAAGAAACAAAGGAACGGCAGGGTCGTTGCTAATGCCAAGGGCCGCCAATCGCGGACCAAATAAACGACACCAGCCAGCAGGATTAGACCCATGGAGTACGCAATATTCGAAATAATAGTGCAGAGTGTGCGATAGCGGGGTCCAACCAACTCAATTGCTAAAATAAAAGACAATTACGTTTTTAAACAGAACAGTTATACTGTTTTTTTCACTAGTGTTGATCGGAAAAACCTGTTGATAATGCCCGGTTTACATTATTCCAGTCCAGTGATCCAGCGAGAATCCAGTCCAGTGCTGGACTGAATCTGTAACGTCTACATTATTCCAGTAATTTAGAAGCCGTTGAAGTATGAACCAAAGTGGATTACTTCGGCAAAAACAAGCACTAAGTAATTACTATGTCAGCACTGGAATGGCACTGGATTGGCCGTCTACATTATTCCAGTTGCGCTAGATTGGTCGCACTGGACTCAAAAATAGATCGCCAATCCAGTTACTGGACTGGAATGCTAACTGGTTTCAGTGTATTCCAGTGCCGGTTTACATTTTTCCAGTAAGGAATCCAGCGATGGATTCGATCGCTGGACTGGAATGATGTAAATCGAGCATAATGTTTCTTTAATTTACATCAAAGGCCTATAATAACATTGCACACAAACATTGATCATTGCTGCTCATGTATATATAGCTATATTAGAGGCACAGAGTCATTGCCTGTTCAAACTTTTGAAGCTTCGCTTGAAAAAGGACTATGGGTGAGTGCCGCGGTTCCAGATTGTACTTCTACTACAGATAGTACTACTTACAACGTACTTCGTTGGGGGGTGGTGCGATGGTCTTGTCAAGCCTTATTTGAAGAAGGACAGGATATTTTGATATCGTATCGTAGGATATTATAATTCTAATAAAAATTTGCTGATTTAAAAATACCTACCAAGAACGTAAGGTGTAGTCATGATCGCAGGAACAGTAAACCCGACTCCAATTCTATAAATAATCCATATTATGTAGTTTTGCGCAAAAGCCGTAGCTATCCCAAAGATGCACTCAATAAGGAGGTAGATGAAAAAAGATGGTTTCCTCCCAAGGGAATCCTGGAGGTAGCCGAATATGTAATTGCCGATTATACCACCAGCAGCCAGTAGCACCAGTCCAAGAGTCGAGTAGAAATCTTTATTGCAGACCAGATTCCACTGTAATAAATCGTTCAATAAGAAAATATTTCCTAGTCGAGTGGAATTAATGCTTTGACCAAAGTTGAACAATGGGATTCAGTCTGTGATACTATGGGCAGGATATGGTCCCCAAATATCAGAAGGGCTATGAACTCAGAAAATAGAGTAGAGTAACCATTATTGTACTAAAATACATTACATTCATTTAAACTTCGATCAAGTTGCATGGGCGGGTTTATTACTGACGACGATTTATTTTAGAAAGCCAACTGATAACCGCGATTTCCATAGGCTATTTAACAGTACAAGAACTTGGAGTTCACAGGGTTTTCTCAGTGTCGATGCCCATTTTTTCATCACGAGAACGTGAAGGCTATTATGGTTTTATGGGCTGCGTAAATTAATTAAGAGCAAGAGTAAAAATTAAGAAAATCAAAATTAAATATATAACATGGAAATGCAAAAAATATTAAGTTAGGTATTTTGTACGTGCAATAATTATTTTCAGTAATCGAAAACTTACTCTTTGAAGACAACGCGGCGACGCTTCAATTTAATCACACGACTAGTAGAGCTTTTTCATAGGCCAGGCGCTATCCAAAAATCCCTAATTATTGTATTAAACCAACCTAACTTAATTTGCGTCCGGATAAAGGAAAAATACACAGTTAACTAATTTACCTCAGTAACGATAGTGCTCTTATAAATGGTTTTATCGTAAATCCATCCTTGAGTACAAGGGATGATGTCTGCGGGTGCCTTATTGGCCGCAGCATCAACCAAGTTCTGGTAGCTCTTCACGATTTCGCTATAGTTTAAATTGTACATCGTGCATGATGAATACTGAAGAACGCCATTCTTCAGCTCCAGTGGTATACTAAAAAAATATTTTTTTTTCTATACAATTGGCTGGCTTGAATGATGAGAGAACAGAACTTTTTTATTGCCCTTGTAGGCATACGAGCATATTGCATTGGCTGTTTAGGAAACACACAAAAAAAAATTGGGATGGTGTAATACCAAATCACACAACCAAACGGTGTTTATATCAAATTTTATTGGTTTATGCAGCATATTAAGTTCGGCACCAGAATGCGATACGATAGTATTAATTTATAATTTCGCCGTGCGTAAGTACTGTATTTTTATGGCCCACCTGGTTTTAAGGGGTTACCGGAGCCCATAGCTACGTCAATGCCGTCACCCACCTTGAGACATGAGTTCGAAGCCACAGTTTTTACAGTAAAACGGCTGCCACGCATTACTGCACCTCGCCTTCAAAGCGAAAGGCATTACTGCTTTACGACAAAAATAGGCAGGATGGTGGTAACCTTACCGCGTGTGCTCACAAGCCGCCCTATCATCAGTAATAACATCAATAATATTTTTTACGGGTTTCTTTTTGATTACACGGTGTTATTCCTTCATCGTGGAAGTCGTTCGTGAGCATTAGTTAAGTACGTTTTTCATTACAAAAATTGGTAGCTGTCTGCTAGATTGGAACACTGGCACAATCTCGCATCGCTTAATACGATTGCACCGAGCGTCTTATCCTTGGGGCCCCGACGAGTTCAAAAACTGTATCTTCACTTCTCTGTAAAACGGATGCAAGATACTTTCAGGCCACCTTTGTAAGTACACTTTTCTATAAAACGCATGTAAGTTATTTTTGTGTACCTTAAATTCTTAACCAGGTCCTGATCAGGTACGTGTTCGAGCTCGGGCACTCTACACCAATGCTTAACATCGGCGGCCATGAAGAGCTGTGCGTAAGCGTGGAAGCCGCAAGGAATCACGGCAGGCAGTAGTACTAGATAGATCACTAATTTCTGATAAGTACCAAAGGGTCCAACGTCCTCTAAGATGGCGTCGAAATCCATCTTCATGTGAAATCCCTGTATATATGATCGTTATTTTGCTTTAACTCGACATTAACATTGTAATTGCTTTTTTTTATTGTGCAAACTATAGCTATCCGTCTTGATACATAAGGTTGAAATTTTAATTGGAGCAATTGCTCTTCCCTTCAAAATCGAAGGCGTTTTACTGCTTCGTGATAGAAATAGAAAAATAATCAAGTCTAACTCCTACACAGTTGTAAATTTACTCATACATAGGAAATATGGGATATATTATTTGGTCTAACTCCGTATTGAATGTGTATTCTAATTATTAAGCTTTTGCTAGATTTAAATGCAAAACATATGTTCGTTTTAAAAATGTACTTTTCTTCACTTAATTGCAGTGTAATAAATACTTTGCAATTCATAAAAGTGTTTTAATGAACAGTCTGTAAGTGAAGTATTCCGAAAAATATGCAGGTATATTAATTTTTTTTTGTTTTCTAAATTGATTTTTACATACCCTTTGGCCGGTGTCTCTAAATGGCTGTACTTATTGAACTGATGGAGACGAGTGGACTGTTAGTTTGAGCAAAAACCCATTGTTCCCATTAGACTGGACCCTAAACACTACCGCAATATATACAGGCTGATAAAAAAACCATACATTATATTGATTACTAGTTCACAAAATCTAACTCAAGAAAATATTACAACCTTACAACTGATTCATGTATTAAAAAAAACCTTATCAAATTAATTTGTTTACATAGTATAATAGAAAAATACATATGTCAAAATATATCAGACTGTATATGGGAATGGGATGCGCGTGCCCAATTATCCACTTCGCAGACCAGTCATTCAATTCGATTAGTTTTATAATTGGAACGGGGAAAGGACAGCTCTAATCCTCCAAGGTTGGGATACTAGTTACGATGTCGCAATGTTGATCCTATTATTATATATAAACATAGATTAGTTTAGGCATAGTCTGAGTTATAAAGTTACAGTATATTGCTGAAGGTAAATTATTTAAAATATAATAGAGATTGGTTTAGCTCTTGCTTTTGAAAATTGCAGCGCTTCAATTACTTATTTTTACGATGACAGTAATTTTTTACAGTTTTTAAGGATGGAAGAATAGTAATCCTTCGGCAGTAGTAGCAGTAATTATTTACAGTTTCTCTAAGACTGGTTAGCGAGGTCAGGTTCATCCAGGAAGTGTGGGATTTGCTAACAACGACGCGAGCGCTCCCAATGGCGACCTAACAGCTCGAAGGCAACTGTTCCTCGAATTCATTTATTGCCGGATCTTAATCACAACATTCATTTATTACATTCATTAATCACGACCCGCTGAGAAGACCCGACGAGAAAGTCATTCGGCTGATGTATGGGTATAGGTCGAACTCGTTGAGGACTTCGACGGTACTGTACGAAGGTACGGTTACCAGAGTCCCTCGTATGCCTGCTCCTATTGGTAGAGTTTTTTTTTGGTCGACGAGCTCATAGCCCACCTGGCTTTAAGTGGTTACTGGAGCCCATAGACATCTACAAAATAAATGCACCACCCACCTTAAGATATAAGTTCTAAGGTCTCAGTATAGTTACAACGGCTACCCCACCCTTCAAACCGAAACGCATTACTGCTTCACGGTAGAAATAGGCGGGATGGTGGTATCTACCCGTACGGACTCAGAAGAAAGAGGTCCTACCACCAGTGATTACGCAAATTAAAATTTGCGGGTTTGATTTTTATTACACGATGTTATTCCTTCACCGTGGAAGTCAATCGTGAACATTTGATAAGTACGTATTTCGTTAGAAAAATTGGTATCCGCCTGCGGTATTCGAACACTACTGCATCGCTAGATACGAATGCACCGGACGTCTTATCCTTTAGGTCACGACGACTTAAAGAGGCTAAAAGACTGCAGGCGTCTAATAATAAGATTATTGGATCAGGTGAATCCGTATGGAAGAATCTAGGGAAGGTTTACATTTACTGTGGTGGACCCATAAGCCCTTTTTGGAAATCAAATTAGAACCTGGACATAGATCCATAAATCCACGTCACAAAAATATATTATAAATAAATAAAACACTAATAACTTTAAGCGGATTTTATTTAAATCTTGTGACACATTTTCCTGTACCACTCCGGGTCGTTTTTCGCAACACTTTCAGGCCGACCATCGGTATGTCGGTAGTGGAACTCCGAAACGCCTCGTCCCGGGATGTTGTTGACGGTGAACTTGCAGAACCTCTCCACCATACGAGCATCCCATTCGTCGGATACGTAGTGGATTGATTCGTATTCCACTAGGACCTGTATTATATATTTTATTTTTATTTTTGTGTTGCATCCCTAACACACATATGATAAGGCAAATATCTGTCAATTTTATTATTTTTTATTGCATAGATGAGTGAAAGAGCTCATCACCCAATTTATGCTCCCGCCTAAGCTCATGTAAATCAGACAGTACTGCACCCACGTTGTGACATAACCTCGAAATCTCAACTGTGAGGTATAACGGTTATTCCACCCTTCGAATCGGAACGCCCTAAATACTTCACGGCCGTGGCGAAGGCACATAACTCTCAAATGTTTAATCTTTGCCCTAATTTATTCTGTATTTAATGTTAAATGTGACATCTACACTTTGTTTAATCACTGTGTATAGTCGAAAAATAAAATAGGTTACTTTTCCTAATAAAGACAGTGATTAGACTTTGCAATAAATGTTTACGTCTCCATCGGTTTTCTCAATTAATTAACCCAGTACAGTGTGCTTAGTGCAAGTTTTTTATAAATATATTAACGTTCGTCTACTGAGCCAACAAAAGTGTGCTCCGACTTAGATTTACCTGAACTGTGTACTCTTCGTCTCCAGCCTTGAATTGGAAAGCGTAGTCCTTAGGAGCCTGCCCCCCTTCTCCGTGTTGGTATAACTTCAAATCCACCCATTTCACGGGATGTGACTCTTTGTTTGGCAAGGCTATCCAACCGGCTTCGAACCTATCGTAAATAATATATCGAAAATGGAGAACAGATATGAGAAGATAAAAGTTGATAGTGCGTGAATTTAGTATTTGTGATAAAGAAGTCAAGGATGTTGTAATTTGCAAAAGGGGCCCAATGTATCTAATAACTAAGATATTGTTAATTTCACTGCATGAATATGTTAACAAGGTATATTAAAGTACTTGTATGAATAATAATTGTAAGTATTCATATAAAACAAATAAACCTCGATCACACTCTACTGTGACTATCGCCAATTGTGTGAGATACAATAAAATACTCGCGCCCCGCACATAAGATAAATATGAAAAATCATTTTTCTTTTTATAGTTTTGTTTTCCTTAAGATCGTAATTTGGACGTACCTTTTAAAACTAAAAATAACCCAAGCTAAAATAAGCCACGCAGATGGGCGAATTGGTTCAGTGGTTCGGAGTAATTTATTTAAATTTTTATAAACTGTTATACGAGTATTGTATATGAGTAATGAGTAATTAGCGTCCCTTTTTTTTCCTACCTATGCTGATAGCCTTGAGAGGCTATTTCAGCTTACCCTAGCGTGTGTAGGTGAGCTCACGGGGCTCAAACCGAAGAGTTGCTAACACTGACCGGTGGCATAGCGTCCCTGAATATTATGCCGAGGATCGTGAGCTTGATTCCCGAATCGGACAAACATTCGAGTGATAAACAAATTTCGTTGCTCTTTGTCAGAGTGTATAATATCTATATTTATCTATAGTTTAATATCTATATGTATTTAAACAAGGATACTTATGTATACCAGTTTTCTCCCTCTGGTTCCCATAGTACAGGGAATATTAATTTGGGATCAAGTGACTATGTGTGACTTGTGCCTGATTATTATGTATTGCTAGTATTAGACTATGAACTACGTTTGTTGCTTGGGCTTATTAACCAATTCAAATAATTTTAAATGTCATCTCCGAGCCACAGGGCCGTTCTATAGATAGTGCGGTTCTGGGTACGGAGTGATAAAAAAATTCAAATCCAGGAACAAAATGATGATTAATCATTCACGTTCATTTCAATCTTTATGCGGTTCAATTGTTAGAAACGATTAAATGTGGTCACGACATCAAATAGTAGTTTCAAATTCTACAAGAAGCAGTAAAAAAAGCATTCGTTTAGTGTACCCATTATTGCAGCAATAGTTCACTGTAATTGGTATTTACTTAACATTAATTGCGCCGTAAGATGGTCTGCCTATTTGCATCAAAATATTATACAGTAAATACTTACACGGAAGCAGTAGATGGCTGGCAGATGACTCCAACGCTAATGCTGGTGCCGTCTTCCAAAAATATATGATGGAAAGCATATCGGTACATAAGAGTCCAGTCACGCTTATGGCCTAAAATTTATTTAGAAGTTTACGACCGGCCTAATCAGTTTCTCTGGAATAGAGAGCTTTAGAATATTGCGTGTAGATTACTACTAATTACTAATAATGGCTGAAGTAATGTAACGTATTTCGACCCTCACCGGCTGATACAGTGGTTTATTTTCTCCTACCAGGACGTCCCCAATTATTGTTATTGAATTAAATACTGTTCAGTTAAAATTATTTTAAACACATCTAACGTGTAATGTGGTTTAAATGTATGTATGATGTGAAATGTATTCCTATTGAGATTCAAGGTTTTTAAACATTAAAACGTATAAGGGTACCAGCTGAAGGACTAATTAATAAGTTAAAATATATATAATAAGACAGTAAGTAGTGTGGGATTTGATTAGTAGTAATGACTAGATTAGTACATGCATAACCAACAAACATGAGCACAAAACAGATTAGTTGATTTATAGAACTCACCAAAACTATGATCTCTGAAGGAAGGCAGAGTGTATTCAAATGATTCTTCCCCTATTTTGAACTTGCATTTTAAGTTGCCGAACTGTTCGTAGTGTGACTGGTGAGCTCTGAAACAAAATCCTTCATTCGTCAACCAAATTTGAGGATTTAAGTGAAACATTAGTCGCGTTGAGAATTGGCGGTCCACTGCAAAACGTTTTGTAAATAACAAATAACGAAAAAGTTTTAATGAGTTTTACCCACGTTTTAAGCAATTCAAAGTATTCTCTGCTCCATTTTTCTTTGGCTATTGACCTGATGACGGTCGCAGGATACAAATCTGTGTCGAAATCAAAGTATTTCGTAGTGGCTGTCCACTCTCCGGTGAAGTCCACATCGACAAACTTACTGGGGTCGTTTTGGTACCTGTAAATGTATATATGGTATATGTTGAGTCAACAAGCCTCTACCTAGATATTATAACTAAAGGAGATACGAAAATATTCTAAAATGTATCTTGAAGAGATTTTTTAGTCCGCATACCGGCGAAATTTCGGTTTATTATTTAGGAATATATCACCAGGTTTGGATTTTTAGCATGAGTCAGAGGCGCTGTCCTATTTCTCCCGCGAAGCAATTATATTTTCTAGCCATTGTTGGCAGCCAAATGATCGATCTTTTTCTATTTGAAAAGTTCGATTTAAATAAATATCGGACAGATTTCACCCCATGCAAATTCGATTGATCTGTCACGACCTTAATGAACCTGCAAACAGTATCATACCACATCTGTCCCTTGTAAGAGATATTCCACTTCTTCATAGGTTCAACCGGTGTCATCTTGATCCCTTCAGCGCCGAACTCTCCTATTTCAGCCCCAAAAAGGACTGTGTCCGGTATCTTCTTGCTGCAGAGAAGACCTTTTCCTGGGAGCTTAAAAAAATCAATAGCTTTATTAACTTGAATTTTGTGTCAATATTTACACGAAAAGTGGAAATTTGTAAATTTTTTTTATTCACTAATAAAAGCGAAGCAGAATAGATGAGCGTAAGCTACAGTATATACCTACAGCGTTTTTCAAAAGATTGAACATTATATTGAAATAACCTAAATAATTCATTTAAAAAAAATTAGACTGGAACGTCCAAGGCATTAACGATCTTAATATTTATTTTTTTATGATTGAAGGATTACTGGTGGCCCGGAGGCCTTTCCAATTTCACCAGGACAGTTGGGCGAGCAAAGGCTCAGCCAGGAGGGGTGGGATTTGCTAACAGCTACCCGAGCGCCTCCGAAGGAGACCTAACAGCTCAAGAGTAGCTGCTTCGCGAATGAATCTACTACCGGATCGGAATCGCGACCCGCTGAGAAGATCCGGCGAGAAACTCAGCGAGCCGATTCATGGGTTAGGTTGCACGGCGAACCCTTTGTCGAGTTCGACGAGTACAGTTACCGAGGTCCCTAAGCCTGCTCCTAGTGTTAGAGCTGAAGGCGTCTAATGCAAAGGTTATTGGATCTGATGGATCCGTAAGGACGTGTCTAGGGCACGATCTTAATAAAAGTGTGTACTCGCGAACCATTTGGACTGCTATACCCATTCAATGACGCTACTGACCAAAGCGAAGCTAAGGTGCAAATGACTACGATGACGCTAAAACTATACCAACGAGATAATTAGTCTTAATTGTAATTTGCTGATACTTCGCATACATCATACATCATGTGCCCTTAATGATAAACTGTTTGTGAATACTTTATTACAAACTTACTCCGATATAAAACAGTCCGTTGCACATTCCCATCGGTCTTCGTTCGCAGCCGCTAATGATGTATACGCCCTTTCCGTTTTCACTTTTCGATGATATAAAGAATATGGCATCGAAAGCCTGCGAAAGTATTATCGGGAGTGAAATAAAAATCCAGATACGTTATTTTACGATACCACTACTGATTCATTACTGGTGGTAGGACCTCTTGTGAGTCCGCGCGGGTGGGTACCACCGCCCTGCCTATTTCTACCGTGAAGCAGTAATGCGTTTCGGTTTGAAGGGTCGGGTAGCCGTTGTAACTATACTGAGACCTTAGAACTTGTATCTCAAGGTGGGTGGCGCATTTACGTTGTGGATGTCTATGGGCTCCAGTAACCACTTAAGAACAGGTGGGNGAATGTTCCATGGGGAGTGCTCTGAGGAATTGTTCGAGATGATACCGGCATCTCGTTTTTACCATCGCACCGCCCGCCACCGGAGTAGAGTTCATCCATACTACCTGGAGCCACTGCGGTCATCGACAGTGCGTTTCCAGAGGTCTTTTCTGCCACGTACCATCCGGCTATGGAATGAGCTCCCCTCCACGGTGTTTCCTGAGCGCTATGACATGTCCTTCTTTAAAAGAGGCTTGTGGAGAGTATTAAGCGATAGGCAGCGGCTTGGCTCTGCCCCTGGCATTGCTGAAGTCCATGGGCGACGGTAACCACTCACCATCAGGTGGGCCGTATGCTCGTCTGCCTACAAGGGCAATAAAAAAAAAAAAAAAACCCTCGAGAAGAAATGAGCTGGTGTCATTCTAAGACCTCACCCCAAGGCGAGGACCGGCACAACACAACCATTTATATGTCTGTTCTTTAAGTTAGTTCATAAGCCATGATTGAGTTGAAGTCTTGTACGGTCGTTATTTATGGAAGGATTTTGTTATATGGTGATACCAGCAACCAGTGGTATCAGTCAGCAGTTCTGCGGCGTGTCATTCACAGCGGGATTGACTGGGTGACGAGTATGTTTTTGTAAGCCGTTACAGGATCTCGTAATAATAGTATATTTAGCACTAAAAATAGCATAGATATTAAACAAATAAAATGAAAATCAGTTGAAAACTGACATAGGAGAAAAAATCATTTAATTGTTTTGTCTTCGTCTATTTGTATTTAAATTAGGTACAATGTAAATGAGACTTCGAAATGCTATGGTAGCGTAATATCTTAGCGTTCGTCTGCTGAGCCAACAATAGTGTGCTCCGACATAGATTTACCTGAACTGTGTACTCTTCGTCTCCAGCCTTGAATTGGAAAGCGTAGTCCTTAGGAGCCTGCCCCCCTTCTCCGTGTTGGTATAACTTCAAATCCACCCATTTGACGGGATATGACTCTTTGTTTGGTAAGGCTATCCAACCGGCTTCGAACCTATCGTAAATAATATTTCGAAAGTGGAGAACAGATAAGAGAAGAGAAAAATTGATAGTGCGTGAATTTAGTATTTGTGATAAAGAAGTCAAGGATGTTGTAATTTGCAAAACGGGCCCAATGTATCTAATAACTTAGGTACCGTTAATTGCACTGCATGAATATACTAACAAGGAACATTAAAGTACTTGTTTCAATAATAATTGTAAGTATTCATGTAAAACAAATCAAACTCGATCAGACTTTACTGTGACTATCGCCAATTGTGTGAGATACAATAAAATACTCGCGCCCCGCACATAAGATAAACATAAAAAATAAATTTTCTTTATGTATATAGTTTTTTTTCCATAAGATCGTAATTTGGACGTACCTTTTAAAACTAAAAATAACCCAAGCTAAAATAAGCCACGCAGATGGGCGAATTGGGTCAGTGGTTCGGAGTAATTTATTTAAATTTTTATAAACTGTTATACGAGTATTGTATATGAGTAATGAGTAATTAGCGTCCCTTTTTTTTCCTACCTATGCTGATAGCCTTTAGAGGCTATTTCAGCTTACCCTAGCGTGTGTAGGTGAGCTCACGGGGCTCAAACCGGTGAATTGCTAACACTGACCCTAGCAAGAGCAGTGCTTCGCAGAATCTACCACCGGGTCGGAAACGCGACCCACTGAGAAGATCCGGCGAGAAACTCAGTGGGCTGTGTCTGTGGGTTAATTCGCTCGTCGAGCCCTTCGTCGCAAGCGACGGGTTCGACGAGGACGGTGACCGGTGGCATAGCGTCCCTGAATATTATGCCGAGGATCGTGAGCTTGATTCCCGAATTGGACAAACATTCGAGTGATAAACAAATTTCGTTGCTCTTTGTCAGAGTGTATAATATCTATATTTATCTATAGTTTAATATCTATATGTATTTAAACAAGGATACTTATGTATACCAGTTTTCTCCCTCTGGTTCCCATAGTACAGGGAATATTAATTCGGGGTCAAGTGACTATGTGTGACTTGTGCCTGATTATTATGTATTGCTAGTATTAGACTATGAACTACGTTTGTTGCTTGGGCTTTTTAACCAATTCAAATCATTTTAAATGTCATCTCCGAGCCACGGGGCCGTTTAATAGTTAGTCCGGTTCTGAGTACGGAGAGATAAAAAAAAATCCAGCAACAAAATGCTAATTAAGCATTCACGTTCATTTCAATCTTTATGCGGTTCAATTATTAGGAACTATTAAATGTGGTCACGACATCAAATACTAGTTTCAAATTCTACAAAAAACAGTAAAAAAAGCATTCGTTTAGTGTACCCATTATTACAGCAATAATTCACTGTATTTTTTTGGGTCTATGGTATACTTAACATTAATTGCACCGTAAGTTTGTACGCCCATTTGCATCAAAATATCATTCGGTAAATACTTACACGGAAGCAGTAGATGGCTGGCAGATGACTCCAACGCTGATGCTGGTGCCGTCTTCCAAAAAGATATGATGGAAAGCATATCGGTACATAAGAGTCCAGTCACGTTTATGGCCTAAAATTTATTCAGAAGTTTACGTCTGGCCTAATATCAGTTTCTCTGGAATAGAGAGCTTTAGAATATTGCGTGTAGATTACTACTAATTACTAATAATGGCTGAAGTAATGTAACGTATTTCGACCCTCACCAGCTGATACAGCGGTTTATTTTCTCCTGCCAGGACGTCCCCAATTATTGTTTTTGAATTAAATACTGTTCAGTTAAAATTATTTTAAACACATCTAACGTGTAATGTGGTTTATATGTAAGTATGATGTGAAATGTATTCCTATTGAGATTCAAGGTTTTTAAACATTGAAACGTATAAGGGTACCAGCTGAAGGACTAATTAATAAGTTAAAAATAAATAATAAGACAGTAGGGTGGGATTTGATTAGTACTAGTGACTAGATTAGTACACGCATAACCAACAAACATGAGCACAAAACAGATGAGTTGATTTATAGAACTCACCAAAACTATGATCTCTGAAGGAAGGCAGAGTGTATTCAAATGATTCTTCCCCTATTTTGAACTCGCATTTTAAGTTGCCGAACTGTTCGTAGTGTGACTGGTGAGCTCTGAAACAAAATCCTTCATTCGTCAACCAAATTTGAGGATTTAAGTGAAACATTAGTCTGAGAATTGGCGGTTCACTGCCAAACGTTTGTAATTATCAAATAACGAAAAAGTTTTAATGAATTTTACCCACGTTTTAAGCAATTCAAAGTATTCTCTGCTCCATTTTTCTTTGGCTATTGACCTGATGACGGTAGCAGGATACAAATCTGTGTCGAAATCAAAATATTTCGTAGTGGCTGTCCACTCTCCGGTGAAGTCCACATCGACAAACTTACTGGGGTCGTTTTGGTACCTGTAAATGTAAATATGGTATATGTCGAGTCAACAAGCCTCTACCTAGATATTATAACTAAAGGAGATACGAAAATATTCTAAAATGTATCTTGAAGAGATTTTTTAGTCCACATACCGGCGAAATTGCGGTTTTTATTTAGGAATATATCACCAGGTTTGGATTTTTAGCATGAGTCAGAGGCACTGTCCTATTTCTCCCGCGAAGCAATTGTATTTTCTAGCAATTGTTGGCAGCCAAATGATCGATCTTTTTCTATTTGAAAAGTTCGATTTAAATAAATATCGGACAGATTTCACCCCATGCAAATTCGATTGATCTGTCACGACCTTAATGAACCTGCAAACAGTATCATACCACATCTGTCCCTTGTAAGAGATATTCCACTTCTTCATAGGTTCAACCGGTGTCATCTTGATCCCTTCAGCGCCGAACTCTCCTATTTCAGCCCCAAAAAGGACTGTGTCCGGTATCTTCTTGCTGCAGAGAAGACCTTTTCCTGGGAGCTTAAAAAAACCACTAGGTTTATGATCTTGGGTTTTGTTTGTTTAATTCACAAAGAAAAGCGAAGCAGAAGAGAGGAGCGTAAGCTACAGAATATAATGTTTATCAAAAGATTGAAAATTATACATAGAAACAACCTAGGCCATAAAACACGTCATTACGAATACTCTCCATCCATTAACGATGCTTTTAGGTACCTCAAGCACCGGTCACTGTCCTCGCCGAACCCGTCGCTTGCGATGAAGGGCTCGACGAGCGAATTAACCCACAGACACAGCCCACTGAGTTTCTCACCGAAACTTCTCAATGGGTCGTGTTTCCGATCGTGTGGTAGATTTTGCGAAGCACTGCTCTTGCTAGGGCCAGTGTTAGCAGCACTCCCGGTTTGAGCCCTGTGAGCTCACCTACACGTCAAGGAGAAGCTGAATTAACCTCTCAAGGCCATCAGCATAGGCAGGGGAAAAAAAACAATCTAAATAATTCATTAAAATTTTTTGACTGAAGCGACCAAGGCATTAACGATCTTAATAGTAATGTGTACTTTATACGTGAACCATTTGGACTGTTATACTTATATTGCTATACTTATTCAATGAGGCTACTGAAGAAAGCGAATCTGAGGTGCAAATGACTACGATGACGCTAAAACTATACCAACGAGATAATTAGTCTTAATTGTAATTTTCTGATACTTCGCATACATAATACATCATGTGCCCTTAATGATAAATTGTTTGTGAATACTTTATTTACAAACTTACTCCGATATAAAACAGTCCGTTGCACATTCCCATCGGTCTTCGTTCGCAGCCGCTAATGATGTATACGCCCTTTCCGTTTTCACTTTTCGATGATATAAAGAATATGGCATCGAAAGCCTGCGAAAGTATTATCGGGAGTGAAATAAAAATTCAGATACGTTATTTTTTCGGTACCACTGCTGGTTTGCTTTTTTATTGATTGATATATAAATAAATAATTGAGAATAAATCACGAACGGTCATTCAACCCCAATTTAGGATTCCCTGTATAATGGGTACCAGAGACTGACATACATACCTATATACGTTTATATACATGTATGGATGGATGGTATGGATAAAAAAAAATGTGTGGTGTCATGGGACACCGGATAGGAACGAAGTTCCCTATTAAAAAAATATTAATTTTAAGTTCTATTCGAGGTATAAAGAAAATAAATACGGAGGTTTCGCAACAACCCACGGTCATTCGGTAACGTGCGAAATTATTGTGGAACACTTAAGTGCATAAGAGTTAGTTAGTGTATTGCGCAAACGAACGCTCTGAGATCGTGGTCAATGAATGATAAAAAAATATGTTATTTTTGTACGTTATTACAAATTTAAGTCGTATACTGTGTGCATTACTAATTTGTACGTTATTACAAAGTTAAGTCGTACACTATGTGCATTACTAATAAAAATCTTACGTTACGGACGTTTTTTCCCGGTTAGGGTACCCCTCCGCATCGTCCCATCAGGAATTTCGTTTCAAAACAGATAGAAAGAGAACAAACAAATCTGTTCATCACACAATGTTTGCCCAATGTGGGAATCGAACCCACGGCCCTCGACGCAACAGCCAAGACAGCTAACTACTACACCACCGAGTCGATCTAAATTGATTAATGAATTGTGATTTACCTTAGCATGGTCGCTCAATGGTTGTGCTCGCTCCATGTCAGCTGGATCGGCTATGGCCTTAACGCCCTGCCCGGCCCGACCATCATTACCGGCAGCTGAATTCTTACTTGAATACTTAAATAAATAAAAAGTTAGGTTTCGTATTCTATATTTAGATTTTTTAACTAACCGTATAATAGTCATGTTTAAAGTCAACTTCGTGCAAAGCGGTTACACAAGATCCATTATAAATGTGTACCGCAAACATATCGACGGGAGAATGCGAAAATGTCATAGCTTGCATTTCGGCCTAAATTACTTTTTACTATATTATTATATAAAAAAAATACTGCTTCGAACGGTCGAATGGTCGTTTTCCTGCGATTAAAATTAACATTTTTTTTTTTCATTAATTTGCATATCAATTTTCAACTGTCTATCTCTTTAAATACATATACTTAGGTAATGAGTTATAAATTTTAGAGATGGTTTTATGGCTCTGTTCAATTTCAATTCAGACACAATAAAGTCTAACAGAAGGCTCAGGGAACAGCTCAATAAATACTTAGGATGGGAATAACGTTAACATAAATGCAACACTCACCTTTCTGTAATAATAAAGAGCTCCGAAAACGACATATTTTAAATAATACCACTTCCCCGGTACGGCGTAAACACCAAATATCGGTTTGCGATCTTTAAACTTGAAGGCGTAGGTCAATAAAACTATAAATAATGTGAATAATATCAGCAAAGCGGTCATTTTGAACGACCGGTTACTGTCCGTCCGTCTCGCACTGTTATCGTGAGCCTTCAAGTATAATGAGTCAAGTGAAAATCACTAATTCAATACTGATTTTGTAGAAAGATATCATTTTGATTAGATTATGTTGTGTTGCCGTGTGCTGTTACAAAATACTGATTGTGATTTGTTAAGCTATGACGTCAAATTTCACAATATGAAGCTAGTCGTAAATAATTAAGATGTTTGTAAGCTTTTTTGAATTAATTTCCATAAAACGAGATGATATAATTTTATTTCAGATTTTACCCGATCTTTAACCAACACGCATGCTCATATAATTCAAGAGATATACGCATTGAGCTCGTATGGTTGCAATTGCCTGTTTTTAACGATACTTAACCTGAAGTTCTTTAAAACTAACGATTATAGTCGAAATAAATTTAAAAATGGCAGTAACAACGCTATTGACGTACTCTATCGGAATGTTGATAAATACTTATGAAGATAAGTACGGTACGAAGTATGTTTATGAAGGTCCTTATTTCCGAAACGTAGAGTTTATTTTTCAAAATTAATGTATACTTGACTAGGTAATTCCATTTGTAAATAATCGATAAACGTATGTACGTATTATATAATTACTATCTACAAAGCTATGTATGTTTACAAGAAATTGTAGGGTATAATAACCCTGAGTTTTATGACAATGACGTCGAGTTTGTCGTTAAATCCATTAACACATTTTAACATTGATTAGCTTATCTAAGGAGACCGTTTTGTTTAACCCTAGCTTGGTTAGTTAATAATTTCAGACAGATCAAGACTGCTCCCGGACACTGAAGTTCCAGCTGGGGTTGTGAACAACGCAACAAGTTTTTTTTTTAATGAGGGATTACTGGTGGCTCGGAGGCCTTTCCAGTATCACGAGGGCATGTGGGCGAGCGAAGGTTCAGCCAGGAGGGATAGAATTTGCTAACAGCTGCTCAAGCGCCTCCAAAGGAGACCTAACAACTGAAGGGCAACTGCTTCGCGAATGAAACTACTACCGGGTCGGGATCGCGACGAAGATCCGGCGAGATGCGGCCTGATGTGGTGGGACGATTGCTAATTATAGTATCATTCTTGTCCTATAGGTAGGTCAATGGTAATTCACTTAATGCGTCTAGATATTCAGTTTGCAGGAATTCAAAAATCTTGAGCCATTCAATGAAGCGAAATAAGAGGCCTAATTAAGATATCGTCTATCATTCATACCCATATAGTCACCGAAAACTTGTGCCGAAAGCTACTGGGTATCACTGTAACAGCTGTCTTAAGACACACCCATGGCCCCCGCCAATTATACCTGAAATCTGAGGTCTGGAGTCTATTGTTTGACATATGTTATTTATTTATGTTTTTAAGGGTCATATTTAAACCATGACAGCTTTTGAACTATCTTACTTATGGCTTTGATATAAAAATTATTTTAATGAAAATATCCTGTATTATGAGGAAACAATTAAAAAATTTAGCTTGACTAACCCTTAGTGTTCATCTAAAAATATAAAAAACTAAAAAAAAATGCAATAAATAGTTATAATTTTTATTTTATTAATACTTTTTTGTTATTTTATGAAAAATATATTGAATAAAATGTATCATAAATTGATTGTCTACATTGTTAGCATTCAAATGACACCTCTTTCGTCTTCCTAAGACGTCTACATCGATAGGAATGATTAAATCAGTGCAGGCGCCTGAGTTGCGAAGTAAAAAAAACCAAAATGGCTGCCATTCTAGTATGCAGAGGCCAAGAGAAAATTGGGATAGTGATTTGTCGATAAAAATCCCCTTATTTTACCCCCCTTAAGTCTCCAACACTGGTGCACCGACATATTGTATAGAGTGGGGAGTTCAGCTTGCTTTTGTTCAAAACATGCTTCACATACTGAAGTTCATTTCGCAAGGGTAGGTATACTGCGATGGACTGGTTCTGGTCTAGCAGGGTATTCCGGAATAATAGCGTCACCTGGGGCGGCCTCAAAGATCACCGTATCGTAACGGCAGACGTAGTCATCGTCTGTCGCCTCGACGACTCCGCCGGCCGGGCGTTCTTGAGGTGATATGTAAGTCTCATTGTAGTGTCGGCCGCGGAAACCCTCCTACCTTACCCCGGTTCTCGGGACCGGGCAAAAATGCAGAGCAGTCGTTTAGTGAGTGGGCCTCTGCGGTCTTAGGCCACAGTCCCACATTCATTACTGATCCTCCCGACCCATTAAGTGTATTTAGGTACCTCAAGCAACAGCTCCGGTTTGAGCCCCGAGAGCTCACCTACACGCTAAGGTAACGATGATATAGCCTCTCAAGGTTATCAGCATAGGTAGGAAAAAAAGTCCCACATAAGTCCTTAAGCGCAAAACCTCGTACGAGTTTCGGCTCTCGGACCAAAAAAAAAAGATGTGTGGTGTCGTGGGACACCGGACACCGGATAGGATCGAAGTTCCTTATTATAAAAATATTAACTTTTAAGTTCTATTCGAGGTATAAATAAAATAAAACTGGAGGTTTCGCAACAACCCACGGTCATTCGGTAACGTGCGAACTTATTATGGTTCACTTACTTCATTCACGGTTGTTTGCATAAGAGTGTATTGCGCAAACGAACGATCTGAGATCGTGGTCAATGAATGATAAAAAAATGTTATTTTTTATACGTTATTACAAAGTCAAGTTGTATACTGTGTGCATTACTAATAAACATCTTACGTCATGGAAGTTTTTTCCCGGTTAGGGTACCCCTCCGCATCGTCCCATAAGGAGTTCCTTAGTCCGAGGAGGATCCGAGTTGTTTATATACCTTTTGGAACGAAACTTCGTTCCATAAATTATATATAAAATAAAAGAACATTGGATATTGTGTATTACATTTAATTTTAAATTACAGAAAATAAGAAAACTTCACATAGACAGACTAAAGAAAATATGAAATTAGAAACTTTATAGTTTAGAACTCTGAAAGGTACGACAAATAGCTTAGCATTATAATAATATAATAGTAGTTCTGATACCTAATATCGTCCACGTAAAAAGCATCGCGTCAAGATACTGTTTCAAAAGCACGAAACTCGATTAGTATAAACGTTACAGTGAAATAAGCTCGTAAACAGAGCTATAATGTTTTATGTACCTCTAATGGTTTACAATCCTCTGAATTTTACGTGAACGTTATTCGAAGGTTTTAATAGTATTAACCTTTTTTTCTTTGAGAATACATTCGATTACATACACTACATATAGGTACCTATAAAAATATATATTTTTAAGCGCAACCGACGTCGATACTGCTCATGCAACGGGAACATGTATAAACGGTAAGTTAGCGCGAAACTGAAGTCAGCACGTGACCGGTACCGAACTTTCAATGACAAAATTGCTTTCAGTCCAAAATTGTCGCAATCATCGACACATTGCCAGCGCCGTAAAAAAAAACGATTTATTTTAAGAATAATACGTCATCATAAATATTAAGTAGAACATAAGCTGCGTTTCCTGTTTGCGTCACACATGCGCGACAAGGACGATAATGTTGCCATTTCTTGAGGCTTAGGGTCCGTTCACACAGACCGGCTCGGAGAGGAGAGCAGATTTTTATCACGTTGGAAGCAGAGTTTTGAGTAATTGTAGTAAAGTTTATTTTTGCATGTATACTTTTTTGTCATTAAGAATGCTTGAACGCGCTGCGTGTGAAATAATAAGAGGAACCGACCGGCTCCGATTGCGCGCCCTTTTTCGCTCGCATAACCGACCGGCTCCGATTGCGCGCTCTTTCTCGCTCGCGTAGCCGACCGGCTCCGATCGCGCGCTCTTTCTAGGCCTGTGTGAAAATAAAAAAGCGAGCCGATGCTCTCCGAGCCCGTCTATGTGAACCTTATAAGTAGCCCATACCCGTTTACTTATCGTAATAAATACATTTGTATGATCCACGATACTATACAAAGCTGAATTTAGTATTTTCATCGCGAGTCTTATAGATTTAAAAACTACTTTTACGTTTTAATCTCGAATTTTTTTATTGTCATCATATTATTATTATTATTTCCGAGCCGATTTCGGCGGTGACCATGACAACTGTAAGTATTGCAAACGGAAATAATACGTCGGACATAACATGATTAGAATACGCGAGATTAGACCTTAACAATAGGTTCAATTAAGCTGAATTTAGATGACTACAGCCGAGCTTCTTTCCGCTTTACTTTGCTTAGTCGTTACCTACATAAGTAATACTAACATTAAATACACACGAATTCCAATCTTATTCTGTAGTTTTTTTATAATGTTAACGGCTTGCAGGATGTGAAACGATTGGAAAAAATTTGAATTGTTAAATTGTCTATAGGTACAAAACTCTGAAACCTAATTAGCTAAAGTGAATGATGGAATGATACGATGCGATGAGATGCGAAGCGAAGCGAAACACACAACTTATTTCTGATCAAAAGTACACTTATGAGAATAATTTGAAAATGTGACTAGAAAATATATTTGAATTTTTTATAATGTTCGTTTCCATTTTGTAGCGATAAACGTTTTAAGAATTAATATTGTTGTGTAACAACTAAAAATAAAATTATAAATGTCATAGATTATATTATAGCATCGCTTCGCTAACGTAATCACATAGGACTTATGTGTTTGTAGGTAGTTTCATTCCGTTGTTCGCTTACGACGACGCCATAGTCTCGAGTAAGGCAGGCGTGCTCACGAAGGATCATCACTAAATGGTCGTATCATATTTTTGTTCGAATTTCGGAAATGTGATTACCGGATCGCAGTATATAAGTTTGGTATACTTTAATTATTTCTAGAACACTAATATTAACGTCACTATAGTATAGTACTACAGTTATAAGCTTATTCCACAAGAGCTGCTACATTTTTATAACGCTTTTATTAATTTATAACAGTGTATGTAAAAAACAGCATAATTTTTTTTTGCGCTTTCAAACTCAATGAACAATTTTATAAATGTCAAACGTCTGTGTTGGAAGTGTCTGAAAATACTTGAGTGTTTTTCTTAATATCTACTGTTATCACTAGGGTTGCCACCGCAAAACGTGTATATTAACAGCATAACGTGTTTTATTTTTTAAAAACAGCGTGACTTTAAACGTGGCAATACTGCTACTAAGCATTTGAAGTTCATTACGAATATTATAATAAGTTTTTAATAAAGCACTCAATTATCTTTATTATGTATTTATTTGACTCGAAACTGTGATTAGTTTGCGAATAACACTATTAAAAAAAAGTATTTTCTCAAGCATTTCATATTTAATAAATTCAGTCAATCTACATAGTGCTTGTTCTCAAAGACACAAATCGTTTTTAAACTACAACATTAATAATTATAATTATCATATTATATATAGTTCGAAGCGACCTTAAAAGTTATTCGTAATGCATATTGAAATTTTGTATATTCCAACATTAATACAGTGAAACTAATTATTCGTGATTTTTTTGGGTAATTTTTGGCAGTTCCGAAATTATCAGCTGTAATCGAGGTCACAACATACATTTCCCTAGAGTAGGATTCCCTGTACTTGTACAAACACTTATATTCCTTTATATATTGTATATACATAGACAGCAAACAATATTTTGGCATATGAATGTTTTTACTGTGCGGGAATCGAGCTCTTGGCCTAGCGGCGGGAGTCTACTGTGGCACTATAAGATTGTAACGTAATTTTGTAGTTATTAGTGACTATAGGATGAATTATAAGCCACATTCAGTCTTATAAGGAGTTAATGTAATCGGTAGGTAGGAATGTTTTTTATTACCATAGTTACGAATTGATTTTGAGACCTAAATTTGATTTTTTTTTTTAAATGTGGTCTTTTTGATATTCATATCTAGGTTATGACCGCGAAGGTGTGTTTCAACACTATCATTGCCCGTGTCATTAACAATGTAACTTAAGTGTTGTGTAACGTATCTCTGTGTCAAATCCAGAATACTTGTACTGCCGATATTACCCAAAAAAAATCTGAATAAAAATCCTTAATTTATTTGTTAAGTAGATAGGCGATGATTATTGCTCATTATAAATGCAATTAACATCACAACTAGTTATAAAAGTGAAACAAACAATATAAATCAACATTAAATACTCTTTGAACAAAAACAAAATGGCCGCGGCTCATGACAGCTGTTCACTCGCAGGCACAGACATCCGAGCCATACGAAATTAAAGAAAATAATTCAATGTGAAAATATAAAAAAAAAAAACATATTTAATTATTTATCACAACGTAATCGTCATATTTCTGCGTAAACGAAAACACTATTACAATATCGTATTTGTTTAATTAATACCTTTAACAATGAAAAATCAAAAAGAAAAAAAAAAGTTGTTTTAATACATAATACTCTCGTCTCAAATGGAACATGAGTAGAAATCTAATCGCCTAATCTCTTGAAGCTCCGATGATGGTCAGAATGAACAGGAATATGTTGATGATGTCCAAGTAGAGGTTGAGGGCCGCGAAGATGTACTCCTCGGGCGAGATGCTGTACTTGTGCTTGCCCCCCATCATCAGCTGGGTGTCGTAGACGAGGTAAATGGAGAATATGAGAGCGCCCAGGGACGCGTACACGAGCGTTATGACCTTACCTTTCACGAATATTGCCACGATACCTGGAATATAAATAGTTGTTGTGAGGTACAGGGCGCTGTCGGAGACCAGATCGGATCAGCACCACAATCTGTCCAACCTTTGAAGCTGTAGGCTGCTTTTTGTGAGAGTCATAGGAACATAGCGACCGACTAACGACCAACCGATACCTTGACTTTCGATGTATTGTCTGATTTTTTTACATTCATTTAAAACGATGGGCTTAAGAGGCGATTGATAAAAATAAATTACTTGTACTGTGTACAACGACAATCCCGCCCTTCGACTCTGAGCGAATGAGTTTGCGGCAGAAGTAGGCAGCTGGAGCCCGTGCGGGCTCACAATGCAGCCTGTACCATCAGTTTCAAACATACTTGGATAAGGTCCATAATTTTTTGTACAATGACGTCAGAGTTTGTCGTTAAATCTATTTTAACACACTATAACATTAATTAGCTTAACTAAGAAGACCGTTTTATTTAACCCTAGGTTGGTTAATTATTCCTTTCTGAAAGATCAAGACTGCTCCTGGACACTGAAGTCCTAGCTGGGGTTGTGAGCACCGCAATAAGAATTATTTGTTTTGATGAATGAGGGATTACTGGTGGCCTAAAGGCCTTTCCAGTTTCGTCAAGACAGGTGGGGAGGAAAGGCTCAGCCAGGAGGAGCGGGACTAGCTAACAGTTGCTCGAGCGCCTCCAAAGGAGACATAACAACTCAAGAGTAGCTGGTTCGCGAATGAATCTGCTATCAACCGATCGAAATCTCGACCCACTGAGGAGATCCGTGCTGATGCATAGATTAGGGTTCCCTAAGCCTGTTCCTAGCGTTAGAGCTGAAGGCGTCTAATGCATGAGGTGTAAAATGTGAACATTTCCACGTTACCGAATACAAGGAGGACGATGGTGGCGCAGAGCAGCACGCCGCCCATCATGGTGAAGTCCCACTTGGTCTGCAGAGCGAACAGAGTCAGGCCCAGGCACACGGCCGCCGTTATGCCAACTGCCATCAGCACCTGGAACAGATAGCACCGACACGCTATAGACCTGGATATGTTTAAGCGATGGTGGATCTTTGGGGCAGGCTTGGGGATATTTTTTTTTATATCCTGCCTAAGCTGATAGCCTTGAGAGACTATATCAGCGTCGCCCTAACTATGGGGATGTTGTTGTTCGGAACTTGTATATATGCAAGCTTATCTTGAAAATGTAGTAAGCGAGATTCAGGCATCTGTCAAATATCTATTGCGGCGTTATATGATGGCTACCCGCCACAGATCAAACTAGCGACATCTTGTAGCGGATGCCCCTAAGCTTATATGTTGTTAAAGTTAAGGAATTTAATTCGATGCCTCCAATGAACATTACGCTAACTCCGAATTCCTATATTTACAGGAGGAGCGTTTAAGCGAAAAAACTTGATAAAATCTTTATTATTGCAGATATATTTATGGTTTTTTGTGTAACTAGCTGATTTACTCTTGCTTCGAACCCCATCAATAATGATTAATTGTAATACTTTTAATATAGTGAAGCGAATTGCGTGAAAAACGAAAATTTAAAAATTTTGAGTTAGAGTAGTGTTCATTGGAGGCATCGAATTATTGTATAACTAAATACATAAAATAAAAAAATAATAAATCATACAAGTCTTTATGTGTTATAGACAATTTGATTAAATTTTAAGATCAATTTGTGATTTCTGAAAATTTACAAAATTCTTTATTACAAATATAGGATAGGTAATATGTTACTGCCATCTACAGGAGCAATGAGAAACTAATCGAAGCGAAGCCATCTAGTGGCCGACGCCCGTAAGCATTTTTGTTGAGTGCTCGAGTTGCTTATCTATAACTAATTTATGTGTATTACCTATGGTATAAGCTCAACGTATCTGAGTGTCAAACTATGGTCGAATATAATATTCGTGAACACGCGTTAAGTACGTATTTCATTAGAAAAATAAAAGGTACATCGGTAGAGTCGGGTCGCACGACACCGGTGCCTCTCGTACTTGGAGCAACAAGTTCCTGCCGACGGTGGCCCATCTTCTGGTCAATAAATGGGCAGATGACCGTTTCTTTTTAGGTAAATAGCATGCACACTGACCGCATCCGCTTCGTAGACGCTTGCGCTAATGCCGAGCAGGAAGCTCTGCGCTGCCGTGAAGATGGCCAGGAATATGAAGTTCGTCGGAGCTTTGCGTCTCACGTCCGGACAGCACGCCATCGCGATGAGACAGACTATCAGCACTATGAAGGCCACCCAGCTGCAACAGAACAATTTTGTTGAACAATTTTGAAAACAGTTTTGAAGTCGTCGTGGCCTAAAGGATAAGACGTCCGGTGCATTCGTGTTGAGCGATGCACCGGTGTTCGAATCCCAGGCGGGTACCAATTTTTCTAATGAAATACGTACTCAACCATTGTTCACGATCGACTTCCACGGTGAAGGAATAACATCGTGTAATAAAAATCAAACCCTCAAAATTATAATTTGCGTAATTACTGGCGGTAGGACCTCTTGTGAGTACGCACGGGTAGGTACCGCCGCTCCGCCTATTTCTACCGTGAAGCAGTAATGCGTTTCGGTTTGAAGACACCCTTCAGCAGCAGCCGTTGTAATTATACTGAGATCTTGGAACTTATATCTCAAGGTGGGTAGCGCATTTACGTTGAAGATGTCTATGGGCTCCAGTAAACACTTAACACTAGGTGGGCTGTGAGCTCGTCCACCCATCTAAGCAATAAAAAAAAATAAAAAATTTTAGCCACAAATATGTTTATGCCAGAAACATGAGGGTACTACTGATATGAGGGGAAGATGGAGAATTACCATCAATCAGTATTTCTCGAGCGCTATGACATGTCCTTCTCAAACGAAGCTTGTGGAGAGTAGTCAATGGTAAGCAATGGCTTAGCTCTGCCCCTGGCATTGCTGAAGTCCATGGGCGACGGTAACTACTCACCATCAGGTGAGCCGCACGCTCGTCTGCCTAATAGGACTGGAAGGATTAACTGTATCTAGAGGACAATATTGGTCCTCTAAGGATTTTTATCTATCTAGAGGACTATTAGTCCCATTAGTCCTCTATTAGTCTCGGTCTAGATACCGTTATAGACCATTATGTCTGAGGAATATTTATTTATAGCATCCCTGGAACTGAGCTTGTGTATTTTTATCTAAACAAGTTTCGGAATGAAATGAATACTCACAACATGAAGGGATTTTGGGCCACCCAGACTTTGGTCGGTCGGTGGTACAGGAACAGAGCGATGAAACCCATCGTCACCATCAGCTGACACATCAGGATAGCGTACACCTACAAAAAAAAGGAATATCTAGATGTTACTGCAGTGTTAGGTAAAATATTTAACCGTTTCTTAAATGTACAAAGACTTCACTGTACTATTTTGTAGATATCTTTGCGAAAAAAAAACAAACTGTAGTTTTTGTTTTCATTGACAACAGTGTTTGACTTTCTCGCCCGTCATTGACACCTATGAAGCTATTCTACGATTTGGCTTGTTAGATACACATGTTAACAACACATGCACCATTCAAACATAATCTCCTAACTTGGCAGCCTGGCATACCAAACAAAAGGCATATTTTCGTGGCCTTAAATATTAGATTGATATCACTACTAACTTAAATAATAAATAAATATTGTTAATGTAGGACTAGAGTATTTTTACAAATTTTTTTTCTGTCTGATAAATGTGTATATGATTTCATATGTATGTATAAGAATATGTACATATATGTGTGCATATTTTTGATTATTATTTTAATATATAATATATGCATATGTTATGTATATGTATGTTTACTGTATATAAAACAGTGTGTGTTTAATATTTGTGTGTGTACATAATATTTTTATAATTATTATTTTTCTCTTATTTCTCAAAGAGGAATGCACCTACCACAACCAATTTTGGTTGACTGATAGAGAATACATAAGGCATTAAGTCTGCCACTGTAGTTTGTGCATAAAGTTGAAAATATAAATAAATAAAAGACTAAACAGAACATACCTTTCGGATGAAAGCCCTGCGTATAGATTTTTCAGTGAAATCGAAACCCTTGACTTCGCCATCTTCGCCGACTGAGTCGTTCGGTGGGATATAGCCCGGCTGGAATAAAAGAAAATCACCATTGAGCGCCAGTTCTATATATTTATGCCACAATTATGGCTAATTTGGTTGTTATTAACTTTTTTATTTTCCATAGCTGATCGCTGGTGGGTAGCCTAAGGGGTTATTCCGGCTACGTTCGGACGGGATTGTGATTTTGTCAAACGCCTTATGAAACGTAAAAGGTCCGCGTCCATTGGCCCGCGTCGGACGCACCGCACGCAACGGATTTTATTTTTTGAAGTGAAACTTCTTTAGAATCGTTGTGATTTCAAACTCGATGAAACGAAAAAATAAGTCCATAGAGACACATAAATGTATAGGATTCAGCCGGCGAGAGAATGAGATAGAACACATTAGACGTTCTCGATCTCCTCTTTGTGCGACTCTTCGTAGCATCCCCACTATCGTCTACTAAACATTGCCCATATGTATGCTCCTGTGTAGTAGGATAGTCAGTACTTTCAGTACTACAGTCACTTTTACCGTGTGTGACTTGCACACACACACACACACTATTTTGCTTTGTATTTTTGCACATAAATGACGGCGTTCGGTGCGGGTAGCGCGTATAGTGGACGCGGGCCACTAAGCGAAATCATACAAAGCAAAATAAAATCCGTTGCGAGTCGTGCGTGCGGTGGGTCCGGCGCGGGCCCAATGGACGCGTACCTTAAGGTTTTAATTTGTTAGTTAGTTCGCGAAAATACATAGACAACAACGTATACGCTACTACCGAAGTTGAGACATGAATTCTAAGTCTCAGTTCTATAGTGCACCGGCTGCCCATCCCCGATCTCGCGACAAATAAATTTAAAGACTTCTTGTTAATAAATGATTTTGATATTTTACATTTTGCTCTTTTTTGAACCGAAGTTTCAAAGGTCAGCGGTTGTCGATGCCAAAGATTGACGGTGATCATATTCAACCAGGTCCTAAGTTTATCATCACGTTTCATTTTTAACCAATCTTCAGTTAAAACCAAGTTGCCTTTGGCATTGTTTCATACTGATGATAGTGTAATGGAGTATGCTTACTTCACCGTAACCTGCGCCGCCATATGCAGGTTGGAAGCCGGGCTGAGGGGGCGCATATCCGCCCTGCGGGTATGCTCCACCCGGGGGATACCCTCCTGGAGGGTAAGCTCCACCTTGCGGGTAGCCTCCACCCTGTGGGTATGGTCCACCTTGCGGGTACGGTCCACCTTGCGGGTACGCCCCGCCCTGAGGGTACGGTCCGCCTTGATTCTGATCTGTGTGATAAAAAAAAACATTATTCTTACATCCGTATAATTAATGTGACAACATTCATAGCGTGCTATGTGATATCGGAAGTGAACATAAAATATGCAGAAAATATACAAGCAACGAATATTTTTAACGGTAAGCGATGTTGACAGGATTTAACTAATACAGGTAAACGTCTTTCAGTCAAAGTCGTACCAATATAATAATATGGGTTTCCAGTAACTGATATTTGAATTGGAAAAATTAAATTAACGCAAAACTTAGAAGGATATAAAAACCCTCACGAATTTCAACAATGATCAAAGCATAATCATCAGATTACCGAGAATTCGTTTGCACTGTGGATAGAGCTTAACAATAAACAAAATTGTTTGGTTGTATCTTTTCTGCATAGTAAGTATCCATACTTAGGGTAGAGGTAAAAACATCATATTTAATAGGATACAAGTGGAAAAAGTGTCTACATGTAAACAGGTTATTGTTGGAAGACTCTCCGAAATAGCTCTAGTGTAGGAAGTGGAAATTATATGGTTATAGCAGTTTTAAGCAGAGTGAAGTGTGCTTGATTGAAGTGGTGTGGTAGTTTATGGAGATGTTTTTAAAATCCTTATTTTTTTCTAATACGACGCCATCTTAATTGGTTCTCTTTCAGTGAGGACATTTTAATACACGGAGATGGCTTTTTTCTTTTTTTCCTACCTATGCTGATTGCCTTGAGAGGCTATTTCAGCTTCTCCTTGACGGGTAGGTGAGCTCACGGATCTCAAACCGGAGGTGTTGCTAACAATGGCCCTAGCAAGGCCAGTGCTTCGCAGAAACCACCGGATCGGAAACGTGACTCACTGAGAAGATCCGGCGAGAAACTCAGTGGGCTGTGTCTATGGGTTAAAAGCTCTTTACTTCTAACCTCCATAACGGTAAGGTAGAGTGTCGAAACCTTTGTCACACACGCAAGCATACCACTTTGAGACTCTACAAGAGTCACAGACATAGAGTTGTTGAACTTATAATCAATCCAATACTTAGCATACTGATTAGAAATACATTAATTATGACGCATATTATTAATGGTTTTATTCATAATATTGTCACTAATGATGTGAATGTTCATTCTTTCTGAACAACTGATAATACTCGGATTGCTTGTGTTCGTGTCTGTGTAAAAATACTAGCAGATTGTGGAACCCCAAAATTATAAGGCTAATTCTTTTGATAAACATTTAGGTCCTCTTATAAATTATCTACTTAAAGGATTTCTTCGGCGTTAAAATATGATGTGACGTATTTACTTGACTTTAATAAACTTTATTTTTCATTAAAACCTACTTATAATTTAGGTATACGCATCTCCTCCGCCTGTCCAGGTCGGCAGCACTATGTTGCATGCAACCTAACACACGAATAGATCTCTCCGAGGCCCCTGTAAGGGCCCCACCGCTTCAACTTGCTATTTTTAACTATGTAATTCTAGTAAATTGAAGGGCAACTCTCATATCGCATTACGTAGGTCATTTCCTATAAAATGAAACATTATATACCTTTACATATTCATATTACACTATGTATATTACCACAAAGTACAACCTAGAAAATCTTTAGGTCTGAAAAATTAATAGATAGAAGATAAAGGCCCTAACCATGATCAATAGGCCTTATAAAACACTAATAATGGATAAGAAAAGGAAAGATAACTAAAGTGACAGTTGCTCATGTCAATGACACCATATACAACACACCAACCACAGTCCATTATCGTTTTGATACGATGAATTTTTATTAAAATATTGTATTCAAAACCACGACCTCGTGTTTGATGGACCGTTATTCACTTACGACTTCGTAATAATACATCAAGTCATCTCAAGGTTGAAATGTTCCACCCACACGGCAAACAAAATGAACAACAGTACGGCAATATGGCAAACATTACGATATTTAGGTATACAAGACATATCTCGTTCGGGGTAGTAAACTTTCACCACTTTAGTAATCTTTTACCAACTTGGTGGTAGCACCCCTTGTGAGTCCGCACGGGTAGGTACCACTACCCCGCTTATTTCTGCCGTGAAGCAGCAATGCGTTTGGGTCTGAAGGGTGGGGTAGCCGTTGTAACTATATCGAGACCTTAGAACTTATGTCTCAAGGTGGGTGGCGCATTTAAGTGGTAGACGTCTATGGGCTCCAATGACCACTTAGCACCAGGTGGGCTGTGAGCTCGTCCACCCATCTAAGAAAAAAAAAATAACTGCATAAAAAAAAAATACAAGCACATAACAACGAAATTATTTAATAACTCCAACATGACTCAAGCCAAAAAATGAGAGCGTGTTCCAATTACGAAGATAAAACTTCAATTCTTATTTCCCTGGTATGCGCCATAATGTCTGCCAACTTGTTTCGTTGTGTCACCCTGTTTACAAACGGCTCAAAATCGATACGTCCTAAATGTGCGCATAAAGACAATTGCTGTGACGTCACGACTTTCCGACACGGGTCGATGATGCATACACAAAAACGATCACTTCAACTTATATCAATGAAAACATGTTTTGCACGCGACAGTGAGTAAGATTATTTTGACCCATAATCCACTCACTGTTCATTTTTACGTTTTTCATTAACTGTTACATTGTAAGACTGTTAAGTTGGATAAAAATTTAACCATGCTATTTTTTTTAAATCTTATTTTTTCTCTACACCACCCTCGGTTGATTGGTAGAATGTGCCTTAAGCATCAGGTCCATCACTGTACTTTTGTGTATAAAATTGAATATATAAATAAACTAGCGACCGGTCCTCGCTTCGCTTCGGAAACTGTAATTGGAGTTTACTCCTTTAGAATCGATTTACATATATAGGCCCGGGGTATGAAAATTATGGGGACCAAAATCGTACTAGCATGTCACACGAAATGCGTTATGCGCCTGATTGGCTCCTGATTGCGTGATGCGTGCGCGCGCCAATCAAAATCGTACTAGCATGTCACACGAAATGCGTTATGCGCCTGATTGGCTCCTGATTNACGCCTCTCGACTTTTTTTTGTGGGGGCGAATTAAATCGCTAGTTTATAACACACAGACAATAAGTGCCGAAGAACTAAAGAATAAGATAATAACCGCCTTTGATAAAGTGAAAAGTGACATTGCAGTATTATCTAAAATAAAACAACAAATACGAAAACGGTCATTAAAGTGCATTGAACAAGGGGCGCGGCGCGGCGGCGAATGTGTACATGTGTCTGTGTGTGCGTGCGCAGCGGAGTGTGAATCGGTGACCATTTTATTTCCACGAAATTGGAATAACTAATTTCACAAATAATCAATGTTAACGCACATATAAATGATATTTGGTGTATGCATAGCGTTTATACTATTAAAGTCTAATTGGGGTGTTTGAGGGTGTGCGTTAAATATGTTACATGTTGTATATGCAAGCTTATCTTGAAAATGTCGTAAGCGATTTTCAAGCATCTGTCAAATATCTTGTGCTCTATGATGGCTACCCGCCACAGATCCACGTGACCGCTGTGTTTTGATGTGTGACAGAATGACCCGAACGTCGCTGTTTAGATTGAGACAACATTAGTCTAAAATAAATAACAACTCGCCTACTTTTCCAATCGAAGCAATTGATGATTACGTACACACGTATAAACCGGGTCCCTGAAACTGCGATACTTTAAGACGAATATTTGTTTTATACGGAAACTAGCGACATCTTGTAGCGGATGCCCCTAAGCTTATATGTTGTTAAAGTTAAGGAATTTAATTATTTTATAACTAAATACATTTAAAAAAAAACGATATGTGGTGTCGTGGGACACCAGGTAGGAACGAAGTTCCTTCGGCTAATGTTTTACTATCACATTTTTTTCAGTTCGGTCGCGCAGCAAAATCCCTATCCCCTCCAAGCCTGCCGTAAGGAACTTCGTTCCAAAAATTAATAAATCATACAAGTATTTATTTGTTATAGACAATTTGATTAAATTTTAAGATCAATTTGTGATTTCTGAAAATTTACAAAATTCTTTATTACAAATATAGGATAGGTAATATGTTACTGCCATCTACAGCAGCAATCAGAAACTAATCGAAGCGAAGCCATCTAGTGGCCGACGCCCGTAAACATTTTTGTTGAGTGCTTGAGTTGCTTATCTATAACTAATTTATGTGTATTATCTATGGTATAAGCTCAACGTATCTGAGTGTCACACTATGGTCGAATATAATATTCGTGAACACGCGTTAAGTACGTATTTCATTAGAAAAATAAAAGGTACATCGGCAGAGTCGGGTCGCACGACACCAGTGCCTCTGGTACTTGGGAGCTACAATTTCCTGCCGACGGTGGCCCATCTTCTGGTCAATAAAAGGGCAGATGACCGTTTCTTTTTAGGTAAATAGCATGCACACTGACCGCATCCGCTTCGTAGACGCTTGCGCTAATGCCGAGCAGGAAGCTCTGCGCCGCCGTGAAGATGGCCAGGAATATGAAGTTCGTCGGAGCTTTGCGTCTCACGTCGGGACAGCACGCCATCGCGATGAGACAGACTATCAGCACTATGAAGGCCACCCAGCTGCAAAAGAACAATTTTGTTGAACAGTTTTGAAAACAGTTTTGAAGTAGTCGTGGCCTAAAGGATAAGACGTCCGGTGCATTCGTGTTGAGCGATGCACCGGTGTTCGAATCCCAGGCGGGTACCAATTTTTCTAATGAAATACGTACTCAACAAATGTTCACGATCGACTTCCACGGTGAAGGAATAACATCGCGTAATAAAAATTATAATTTGCGTAATTACTGGTGGTAGGACCACTTATGAGTCCGCACGGGTAGGTACCGCCGCTCCGCCTATTTCTACCGTGAAGCAGTAATGCGTTTCGGTTTGAAGCTACCCTTCAGCAACAGCCGTTGTAATTATACTGAGATCTTAGAACTTATATCTCAAGGTGGGTGGCGCATTTACGTTGTACATGTCTATGGGCTCCAGTAACCACTTAACACTGTGGGCTGTAAGCTCACCCACCCATCTAAGCAATAAAAAAAAAATTAGCCACAAATATGTTTATGCCAGAGGGTACTACTGATATGAGAGGAAGATAGAGAATTATCATCCATCAGTATTTCCCGAGCGCTATGACATGTCCTTCTCAAACGAAGCTTGTGGAGAGTACTCTACGGTAGGCAACGGCTTAGCTCTGCCCCTGGCATTGCTGAAGTTCATGGGCGACGGTAACTACTCACCATCAGGTGAGCCGAACGCTCGTCTGCCTACTAGGACTGGAAGGATTAACTGTATCTAGAGGACTATTAGTCCTCTAAGGATTTTTATCTATCTACAGGACTATTAGTCCCATTAGTCCTCTATTAGTCTAGGTCTAGATACCGTTATAGACCATTATGTCTGAGGAATATTTATTTATAGCATCCCTGGAACTGAACTTGTGTATTTTTATCTAAACAAGTTTCGGAATTAAATGAATACTCACAACATGAAGGGATTTTGGGCCACCCAGACTTTGGTCGGTCGGTGGTACAGGAACAGAGCGATGAAACCCATCGTCACCATCAGCTGACACATCAGGATCGCGTACACCTACAAAAAAAAGGAATATCTAGATGTTACTGCAGTGTTAGGTAAAATATTTAACCGTTTCTTAAATGTACAAAGACTTCACTGTATTATTTTGTAGATATCTTTGCGAAAAAAACAAACTGTAGTTTTTGTTTTCATTGACAACAGTGTTTGACTTTCTCGCCCGTCATTGACACATATGAAGCTATTCTACGATTTGGCTTGTTAGATACACATGTTAACAACACATGCACCATTCAAACATAATGTCCTAACTTAGCAGCCTGACATCCCAAACAGAAGACATATTTTTGTGGCCTTAAATATTAGATTGATATCACTACTAACTTAAATAATAAATAAATATAGTTAATGTAGGACTAGAGTATTTTTACAAATTTTTTTTCTGTCTGATAAATGTGTATGTATGTATAAGAATATGTACATATATGTGTGTATATTTTTGATTATTATTCTAATATATAATATATGCGCATATATGCATATGTTATGTATATGTATGTATACTGTATATAAAACGGTGTGTGTTTAATATTTGTGTGTGTACATAATATTTTTATAGTTATTATTTTTCTCTTATTTCTCAAAGAGGAATGCACCGCACCTACCAAAACCAGTTTTGGTTGACTGATAGAGAATACATAAGGCATTAAGTCTGCCACTGTAGTTTGTGCATAAAGTTGAAAATATAAATAAATAAAAGACTAAACAGAACATACCTTTCGGATGAAAGCCCTGCGTATAGATTTTTCAGTGAAATCGAAACCCTTGACTTCGCCATCTTCGCCGACTGAGTCGTTCGGTGGGATATAGCCCGGCTGGAATAAAACAAAAACACCATTGATAGCCCATTCTATATATTTATGCCACAATTATGGCTAATTTGCTTGTTATTAACTTTTTTATTTTCCATAGCTGATCGCTGGTGGGTAAGCCTAAGGGGTTATTCCGGCTACGTTCGGACGGGATTGTGATTTTGTCAAATGCCTTATGAAACGTTAAAGGTACGCGTCCATTGGCCCGCGTCGGACGCACCGCATGCAACGGATTTTATTTTTTGAAGTGAAACTTCTTTAGAATCGTTGTGATTTCAAACTCGATGAAACGAAAAAATAAGTCCATAGAGACACATAAATGCATAGGATTCAGCCGGCGAGAGAATAAGATAGAACACATTAGACGTTCTCGATCTCCTCTTTGTGCTACTCTTCGTAGCATCCCCACTATCGTCTACTAAACATTGCCCATATGTATGCTCCTGTGTAGTGGGATAGTCAGTATATCTTATTTATAAGTTTCTTTTACCGTGTGTGACTTGCACACACACACACACACACACTATTCTGCTTTGTATTTTTGCACATAAATGACGACGCTCGGTGCGGGCGGCGCGGATAGTGGACGCGGGCCACTAAGTGAAATCATACAAAGCAAAATAAAATCCGTTGCGAGTCGTGCGTGCGATGGGTCCGGCGCGGGCCCAATGGACGCGTACCTTAAGGCTTTAATTGGTTAGTTAGTTAGCGGAAATACATAGACAACAACGTTTACGCTACTACCAAAGTTGCCACATGAGTTCTCTAAGTCTCAGTTCTATAGTGCAACGGCTGCCCATCCCCGATCTCGCGACAAATAAATTTAAAGACTTCTTGTTAATAAATGATTTTGATATTTTACATTTTGCTCTTTTTAGAACCGAAGTTTCAAAGGTCAGCGGTTGTCGACGGACATTGTCGATGCCAAAGATTGACGGTGATCATATTCAACCAGGTCCTAAGTTTATCATCACGTTTCATTTTTAGCCAATCTTCAGTTAAAACCAATTTGCCTTTGGCATTGTTTCATACTGATAATAGTGTAATGGGGTATGCTTACTTCACCGTAACCAGCGCCGCCATATGCAGGTTGGAAGCCAGGCTGAGGGGGCGCATATCCGCCCTGCGGGTATGCTCCACCCGGGGGATACGCTCCTCCTGGAGGGTAAGCTCCACCCTGCGGGTAGCCTCCAGCCTGTGGGTACGGTCCACCTTGCGGGTACGGTCCACCTTGCGGGTACGCCCCGCCCTGAGGGTACGGTCCGCCTTGATTCTGATCTGTGTGATAAAAAACTGTTATTCTTATATCTGTATAATTTATGTGACAACATTCATAGCGTGCTATGTGACATCGGAGGTGAACATAAAATATGCAGAAAATATTCAAGCAACGAATATTTTTAACGGTTAGCGATGTTGACAGGATTTAATTAATACAGGTAAACGTCTTTCAGTCAAAGTAGTACCAATATAATAATATGGGTTTCCAGTAACTGATAATCCAGTAATTGGGAAAATTAAATTAACGCAAAACTTAGAAGGATATAAACACCCTCACGAATTTCAACAATGATCAAAGCATAATCATCAGATTACCGAGAATTCGTTTGCACTGTGGATAGAGCTTAACAATAAACAAAACTGTTTGGTTGTATCTTTTCTGCATAGTAAGTATCCATACTTAGGGTAGAGGTAAAAACATCATATTTAATAGGAAACAAGTGGAAAAAGTGTCTACATGTAAACAGGTTATTGTTGGAAGACTCTCCGAAATAGCTCTAGTGTAGGAAGTGGAAATTATATGGTTATAGCAGTTTTAAGCAGAGTGAAGTGTGCTTGATTGAAGTGGTGTGGTAGTTTATGGATATGTTTTTAAAATCCTTATTTTTTTCTAATACGGCGCCATCTTAATTGGTTCTCTTTCAGTGAGGACATTGTAATACACGGAGATGGCTTTTTTTCTTTTTTTCCTACCTATGTCGATAGCTTTGAGAGGCTATTTCAGTTTCTCTTTGACGTGTAGGTGAGCTCACGGAGCTCAAATCGGAGTGCTGCTAATACTGACCCTAGCAAAGACAGTGCTTCGCAGAATCTACCACCGGATCGGAAACGCGACCCACTGAGAAGATCCGGCGAGAAACTCAGTGGGCTGTGTCTATGGTTTAAAAGCTCTTTACTTCTAACCTCCATAATAGTAAGGTAGAGTGTCGAAACCTTTGTTACACACGCAAGCATACCACTTTGAGACTCTACAAGATTCACAGACATAGAGTTGTTGAACTTATAATCAATCCAATACTTAGCATACTGATTAGAAAATACATTAATTATGACGCATATTTAATGGTTTTATTCATAATTTGTCACGAATTATTTCAATGTTCATTCTTTCTGAACAACTGATAATACTCGGAATTGCTCGTGTTCGTGTCTGTGTAAAAATACTAGCAGATGGTGGAACGCCAAAATTATAAGGTACACGGCGAATTCTTTGGCTAAACATTTGGGTCATCCTATAAATTATCTACTTAAAGGATTTCTTCGGCGTTAAAATATGATGTGACGTATTTACTTGACTTTAATAAACTTTATTTTCCATTAAAACCTACTAATAATTTTGGTATACGCATCTTCTCCGCCTGTTTACGTCGGCATCATCATGCATGCAGCCTAACACACGAATAAATCTCTCCGAGGCCCCTGTGAGGGCCCCACCGCTTCAACTAGCATTTATGCTAGCAATTGCTATTTTTAACTATGTAATTCTAGTAAATTGAAGGGCAACTCTCATATCGCATTACGTAGGTCATTTCCTATAAAATGAAACATTATATACCTTTACTTATTCATATTACATTATGTATATTACCACAAAGTACAACCGAGAAAACCTTTGGGTCTGAAAAATTTATAGATAGAAGATAAAGGCCCTAACCATGATCAATAGGCCTTATAAAACACTAATAATGGATAAGAAAACGAAAGATAACTAAAGTGACAGTTGCTCATGTCAATGACACCATATACACCACACCAACCACAGCCCATTATCGTTTTGATACGATGAATTTTTATTAAAATATTGTATTCAAAACCACGACCTCGTGTTTGATGGACCGTTATTCACTTACGACTTCGTAATAATACATCAAGTCATCTCAAGGTTGAAATATTCCACCCACACGGCAAACAAAATGAACAACAGTACGGCAATACGGCAAACATTACGATATTTAGGTATACACGAAGCCAAGACATATCTCGTTCGGGGTAGTAAACTTTCACCACTTTAGTAAGCTTTTACCAATCTGGTGGCAGCACCCCTTGTGAGTCCGCACGGGTAGGTACCACTACCCCGCTTATTTCTGCCGTGAAGCAGCAACGCGTTTGGGTTTGAAAGGTGGGGTAGCCGTTGTAACTATACTGAGACCTTAGAACTTATATCTCAAGGTGGGTGGCGGATTTAAGTGGTAGATGTCTATGGGCTCCACTGACCACTTAGCACCAGGTGGGCTGTGAGCTCGTCCACCCAGCTAAGAAATAAAAAAAAATGAACTGCATAAAAAAAAAATACAAGCACTTAACAACGAAATTATTTAATTACTCCAACATGACTCAAGCCAAAAAATGAGAGCGTGTTCCAATTACGAAGATAAAACTTCAATTCTTATTTCCCTGGCATGCGCCATAATGTCTGCCAACTTGTTTCGTTGTGTCACCCTGTTTACAAACGGCTCAAAATCAATACGTCCTAAATGTGCGCATAAAGACAATTGCTGTGACGTCACGACTTTCCGACTCGAGTCGATGATGCATACAAAAAAACGATCACTTCAACTTATATCAATGAAAACATGTTTTGCACGCGACAGTGGGTAAGATTATCTTGACCCATTATCCACACACTGTTGATTTTTACGTTTTTCATTAGCTGTTACATCGTAAGACTGGAAATTGGATAAAAATTTAACCATGCTATTTTTATAAATCCAATTTTTTCTCTACACCACCCTCGGTTGATTGGTAGAATGTGCCTTAAGCATCAGGTCCATCACTGTACTTTTGTGTATAAAATTGAATATATAAATAAACTAGCGACCGGCCCTCGCTTCGCTTCGGAAACTGTAATTTATTATTGATTTATTCTCAACTATTTAATGGATGTTATTATACGTCATATAAACCTTCCTCTTCAATCACTCTATCTATTAATAAAAAACGCATCAAAATCCGTTGCGTAGTTTTAAAGATTTAAGCATACATAGGGACAGATATAGGGACAGAGAAAGCGACTTTGTTTGATATTTTACTATGCAGTGATAAAAGCCCTGCGTATAGATAGAGAATGAAATCGAAACCTTTGACTTCGCCATCTTCGCAAATGAGCCTGGCTCTTGCATTGCTGTTAGTCTACAAACTAAAGCAATCATTGAAATGTATAACCGATGTACGTACACACATTACATGACAGCCAACATCCTAACGTTTTTTTATAGCTTCGATGGGTGGACGAGCTCACAGCTCACTTGGTGTTAAGTGGTTACTGAAGTCCATAGACATCTACAACGCAAATGCACCACCCACCTTGAGATATAAATTCTAAGGTCTCAGTATAGTTATAACGGCTGCGGCGTCTTTGAAACCGAAACGCATTACTGCTTCACGGTAGAAATAGACAGGGTGGTGGTGCCTACTCGTGCGGACTTACAAGAAGTCCTACCATCAGTAAGAATCAATTTCATTGAATAACGAAAGTATGACAACCAAATACTCTACAGAAATAGGCACGGACCGGTACGAGCCCGCAGGCCTCAAATAGTTATCATAATATATAGGTATGTTGCCCAAAATTTTGAAACACGAGTAGACGTCTGGGCGTTTACAAGCAATATGCATAACTCAAGATTTTTGAAACAGATCCAATTCAAATGATAAAAGATGTTGCCACTGTAAAGCACTAAATACAAGAATTTACTTGTATTAGCTAAGTAGACACGTTACGTAATAAACAAGTTAGAGCGAACAAAACCGTCTTTCATTTTGTTTATTTTTACAAACATGTCTAAACGTATTATATCCTGTTGTGAAATATGTAAGCGTAATGTAGATATGAATAATAAACAGTTAGTTAAAATCGTTAAAGTGTGTGTGTGTGTGTGTGTGTGTGTGTGTGTGTGTGTGTGTTTTTATTAAAAAATGATGACCAACAGCACTTTGTATATTTATGCCGCTTTCCGAATTAAGGTCTTAGTTGCAAATTTAAGTCTATGATAGACGTCATACTGTAACTTTGCGGCACATTTACCATAGTCAGTACGGTGAGAATAACTCGTACGGGTTCCTGTTGTGACATAATTAGGCCACAAGCTAATTAAAAATACGACATAGAATGCAATGATTAATAAAATTTTTTAATTAATTAATACATTATTTGGTTTAAGCGAATTTTTTGCGAATTTACACAAGAGCTATTTTAAGTTTCAAATTTAGAAAAAAACTTCTTCGGCAATTTATATGGCGTAAACTTAATTGAGGTTCAATTAAAACATCGAACTGTTGATGTTAATATCAAATAAAACGCACCTTTAATCATAATACAAAAATAAATGTTGCATATCGAGCGATATCTCTTAAACCGAATAGCCTTTCACCCCTTGATCTTATTTAAAAAAAATGTATTGATTGCGTTACGCAGTGTATTAAATGACGAGTTGGGGTCAAGGGACTCATAGTCCTGATTAATACGTAGAACGTATGCATCATCTACACAGTTCAGTGAAATTTACAAAAGAATATACTGTTTCTTGAGTTCCTATTGAATATACGACATACGTAGTGAAATTTGATTTCATTAAAACTAAAACTTAAAATCAACTACCCGCAAAAAAAATATGAACATAAATAATACAGTTTTTCTGGTTCATTCACTGCTTATCTATACTTATCGGAAATGGGCTATGTATGTGCAGAAACGCTCGACCATGTAAACATAGCCTTATACGATTATTCACTTACACGTTTCAATCGTCCTTCTCTATCAGTTATTAGCTCAGTGATCTCTTTTGATATCCACATTCTCGTAAATTCCATTAAGTAATCAATTATTCTATTCCATTTTATACATCAACGTGGTTATGAGAAAAAATAATTTCTTCTACAGTAACTCCGGGTGCGAAATTAGGTCTTATTGAGCCCGCTGTAGTTCAATGGAACAAAAACGGAGTTTAAATTTAGAGACTGGTCACGTATCAATGTATTGGAATGGAATCGATGCTATTGAGTCGAAATTGTTTTAAAAAATATATATTATTCTTTAGTAAAACGTCTAATTATTAAATAAGTACCACGAAATAACAATTTAGGTAACAAATTCAATTCCCAAGATCGTGATTTTAAAAACAAGATTTTACATCAGCGTAAATGAATATTAATTTGTCTCTTAATATGTTTTTAACGTAGTATTTTTTCGTTCGCATCGTGACGTAACGCACAAATTTTCTAAACCATTCTAGAATTTCTGTCGTAAAATAACGAGAACGATCATATCATCGTCAGATATAAAGCCCTTTTTCCGTGAACAACGCAATTGTTGACTCAAGGAAAAGGCTTGTCCCCTACAAGGGGAATTACCAATGTCGGAGAGTGCATTAGAGAGGTTACCTAGATCTATGTACTAAAGAGTTTTCAATTTCTGACTTCGTCTGATTATTACTGGTAGGACCTCTTGAGTCCGCACGGGAAGGTACCACCACCCTGCCTATTTCTGCTGTGAAGCAGTAATGCGTTTCGGTTTGAAGGGTAGGGCAGCCCTTGTAACTATATTGAGACCTTAGAACTTATATCTCAAGGTGGGTAGCGCATTTACACTGTAGATGTCTATGGGCTCCGGTAACCACTTAACACCAGGTGGGCCGTGAGCTCGTCCACAAACCTAAGCAAAAAAAAATCATCTCTGAAGATCGTGTCTAGTTTGAAGACTGTAATCTCTGACGGTTTGCACAATTACTATCCACTTGTTTCTATTTTCAACAGTCTCTAGTGCTTCATAAATAGGCATGCCGGGGGAGTGGAGCTATCAGGTTTGGCCAATATGGACCAATGTTTATATGGTTGACGGCATTAGCAAAAAAATAATGTAAAAGTGAGTAGCCAATGCTAATACACATATATCGTGAGTCACACAGTATGAAAAAACACTTTACCGTATCAGTCATCCATTATCATCATGGCATTCTATCTCACTGTTATCACAGTATCCGTTTCTTTACAATAAGCCAATGTACAATTGTTTTATGACACATGCGATCATCTTTCATTTTAATGAGATTCTCCGATTAGGAACATACATACGCAGGTGGATCAAGTTGTGATCGCTCGCGGTGTGATATTAGAAATTGGCTAACTTTTTTTTTATTACTTTGCTGGGTGGACAAGCTCACGGCCCACCTGATGCTAAGCGGTTACCGGAGCATAAACATCTACAACGTAAATTTCCACACCTACCATGAGATATAAGTTCTAAGGTCTCAGTATAGTTACAAAGGCTGCCCAACCCTTTAAACCGAAACGCATTACTGCTTCACGGCTGTAAGAGGCAGAGTGGTGGTACCTACCCGTGCGGACTCCGAAAAGTCCCACCACCAGTATTTCTTTTCGACGTAAGTGTGGGATTCAATTTAATGGGTAGCCTTCCTGCTGAGACATTTATGCTCTCAGGGTTCTAGAATAGGATAGTACTATTGACACTTCAAACTCATGATTTGTAATGGGTGATGGCATTAATGTTGTAAGTACTATTGAATAGTCTAGTTCTATTGAATAAACCATGTTTCATGTATAGACTCTATTAGACTACTGGTAATAGACTATCTATCTATCTACTCTAATAGACTATTCGATTTGCAGTGTGATGAGGTATACATATACTCGTGATACTGACTTGTGATTATTTGTTCGGTCAATGATATTGTTTTGGAGGGAAACAAGAAAAAAAAGTTTTTATGTCGTCTATTCCAACAATTCAAATTGTACGTAATTGTTTATAACGATTTACTGATTAAATTATAGATAATGTTGTTTTTAGAGTAATATTACTGTGGCTGTTTGATTTAATTTAAATATCTAAAAAATTACATACGAATAGGCATCAATGACATTTTTATAATAAAAACATAGCTTCGAACGTTTTTGAAGGCGAGATTTATTCGCGTAAGTTGCCTGAAGACCTGAAGCTTGGGCTGATACTAGACGGCTTACGAAGATCCTGGACACCCGAGAAACTAAGCCTTCACAGTGTTTTGATGTTTTTCATTGCACCAGAAGTTAGGGCAAGCAATTAACATATTCCGAATCTATATTTCTTATAATTAAAAAAATTATGAATAATTTAACGTTACATATAATATTTTAATGCTTACATTTGTAATTTTACCTTGTATTAGAAGAACATACAAGTTTTTAGCATTACACAATAAAACGGTGCTGTGTGTGTAAATTGTAATTTGATTATTGTGTTTATCTTCACATGAGGTGTGCACAGACAAAAAACGGGTCGCGTGTAAATGTTGTTTTGTTGATAAATGTCCTTCAATGTAAATTATAAGGCAAACTTAAAGACAAAACAAAATTTATTCTTCATCTTTTGAAGTATTTTTTCCCTATCTATGTATTTACTAGTAACCAAAGGGGCTTTTCCAGCTCTCCAGAAGATACTACTTTATCTTTGTTATGTAATGTTTGTCAAATACTTTTCTGGAGACTTTCTGTCTCAATAAAAGATGATCAAAAGAGACTTGGATCAAAACAAATTTCAAATTTATTCGTCATTGGAAATATGCATGGCGTAAGTTTAAAGACAATATATTTGATGCTTTTCAGAATTTCCTAATGTTGGAATTTCACTGAAAATCTGACATATCACAACGTAAGAACTTCGGGTAAATGAAACCATGTAAGCATCAAGAGCTGAACAGAATGTAATTTCTGCCTTTTAGTCTTCAGTATATGAAATAGAAACTTCAAACTGGAAATTAGTTTCAAACAATGCAAAATTTAAACATAATGCAACATCAGTATAGAATACATAAATAGTTTCAACATAGTTTATATATTGTTTTATAAATCAACCCAAATTTGTTTCTTTATGATTAATTTGTAGCAAAACGTTTCTGTTTTCTATTTAGTACTCAATAATTATTTGCCTTTGTAATAATAACTTTCAATTCGTAATTATCAGAAGGAAATTTACCAAGTGTGCAAACATGACTTTATTGTTTGTTTATAATAAAAATTTTGAACCTCCTGGATAAACTCCTGGGTTCTGCCACATTTCAGTTGTGTTGGCTGCGAGAAAGAAAAAGGTAAATTAATAAAACTAAATATTAAATACATACACATGCTCTCGTAATTTGGTTGGTCCTTCGAGTTTAGTTTTTCCGAAGCCGTTTTGTTAAAATTCCACTTACAATCTCCCGATGTTCAAACTGTAACAAGAGAATATTAATTTGTCTATATATATCTCTATCTATACAATACCTGTACATAATTAGATAGTAATATGATGATAACACATATCAACTACAGGAATGTTCAATTTAGATTGATATCCTTGTCTTTTTATTCATAACTTTACAACACACAAGAGACTGATATCGAAAACAGTCTACCTCAATATGTTTAACTTTGTGTATGGTGTAACTGTCAAGGCAATACAATAAATGGGTGTTACATTTTTTTTTAAAAACTGTTTAGTTTAATACAGGACATATCAGTAAAAGAAGAAAAAGTTAAAAGAATGTTCAGCTTCTAGAAAAATCGTTTAGTGAAAGTGAAAGTTGTTCATACTTCTTATGGTTTAGTAGAACTGATAAGTTCTACTAAACTACTATTTTACATTAGTTTAGTTTTACATTTTTAAATCTATATTACAATATTGGTGTTAAATATGGAAGTTGAGTTAAAAATGATGCTGTAAAGTGTATTATTGTGCAATAAGATTTTCATTAGAAAATGTTAATGTTTAAACATTAATTGTGGCAGAACACATTATGCACCCACACTGGTACAGCTACCGACATCCATGGCAAACGATCGGTGCGAGCATGTAGGTAACTCAATTTCCACCAAAAGCAAAATAATGTGAAAAATTATGTCGGTCTTGAATTTTGTTGTAAATATAATCACAATAAATAAACAAGATTGGCTTATTTTCATTTTTCTTTTATTTGTTTAATTCGACTTGATTAAATATTTTTTAGGTGAAATTAATATAGTAGTGACTAAATACATGAATGACGTCATTTAATACACGGTTTATTAATGTGAATTGCAACGAAAAAACTGTCTTATTTGTAGATTGCTATTTACGTGTAGTATAGCAAGACACCTAAAAAAATCATGATTCGAAAATCAAAGACCTTGGAAAGTACTAGATTAATCGCGCAATAAAAATCGATACGTTTTCAAACATTCAGACCGAAAACATTTGAGTAATTTACCTTCTACACAATGAACTTCACAATTGATTCACTTGACAAATACAATCTTCGTCGCTTTAGATGAACACAAGCAATTTTTTTTCACAATTGAATCACAAAATATCGCACAATTATAATGCTTCTGTTTTCGTTGAATTTCACTCGGCTTTCTTATGTCAGTTTTGTCACACACTGCGTTAAATCAATATTGCACTCAGATCATTGGATAAATTTTGTTATTCCACTGGATGAATTGTTTTATTGGTGCTAGGGAACTGGCTATTTGTAGACAACCAATCAGCGATAGGCAAATACAGCCAACTTTTATTTCGCGCACACGCTTATGCAACGGAAAGTTAAACCATACAACCAAATCTTTTATGTCATGACGACACCAATCAAGCCTTTTGTGTTATAAGGACAAAAATATTAAGACATTATAGCTGTCATAATATAATAATATTGTATGTTTCCTTTTATTTTAGTTTTCGTGTATTAAAAATAATTGTAATAGAAAATTTTTATGGTCTTATTAGAAAAAGCAAAAAATTAAAGGTTTATAGAATTTGTTTTCTTTGCTTGACTGATAGAATGAAAATAGTAAGGAAAATTTATGAATGGGGAAACACGCATTAGCTATGCAGAGTAGATATCTATATAATAATAATATGTCCTATTAATCCGCGAGCTATGACGTTTACCATGATCGGGAATAGTTAGTGTGGATCGGGAATAGTAGCGCAAAACATGACTGTTTTAATCTCTGTAAACAAAGACAACATTAATTAAAAATATATTACTCTTAAAAAGCACCAAGCAGAGACCAATGCAGAAGGAAATTCTTTTTTTATTGCTTAGATGGGTGGACGATCTCACAGCCCACCTGGTGTTAAGTGGTTACTGGAGCTCATAGACATCTACAACGTAAATGCGCCACCCACCTTGAGATTTAAGTTCTAAGGTCTCAATATAGTTACAACAGCTACCCCACCCTTCAGACCGAAACGCATTATTGCTTCACGGCAGAAATAGGTGGGGTGGTGGTACCTACCCGTGCAGACTTACAAGAGGTCCTACCACCAGTAATTACGCAAATTATAATTTTGTGGGTTTAATTTTTATTTCACGATGTAGTCCTTCACCGTGAAAGTCAATTGTAAACATTTGTTAGCTACGTATTTTATAAGAAAAATTGGTACCCGCCTGCGGGATTCGAACACTGTCGCATCGCAAGATACGAATGCACAGAGCATCTTATCCTCTAGGCCACGACGACTTATGCGGAAGTAGCATTGGATTGGTCACATATTGAGAAAGTCCGGTACCCACCTATCAACGAGAGCACTGACCTGGAAAGTGTCTGGCAAAAGGAAGAGAGGCCGCCCCAGAACAACTTGGCGTCGGTCAGTGGAGTAGGAGCTAGGTGTCTTGGGCATAATGTGGGAGGAGCTAGAACAGACTGCCCAAGAACGATGTAAATGGAAGGATTTGATTCGACCCCTCCATTCCAGCAGAGGGTAATAGGAAAGAATGATGATGATGACTCTTAAAAAGCCATTGTTCTTCATTTACCTGTAGATCTCTTTTAATAATCATGTCACTAAAAATTTTGCAATTATAATATATTGGATATTACGGGACTCCGCAGTTATGAAACATCAAATTTGTAGTTGGTTGTAATTTATAATTAAACCTAATTAAACCTTTAAAGAAAAAGTGATGTGTAAATTAAATTTGTAAATAATTTTAAAAGAAATATAAAGTGTCGTTGCAAGCAGTGGACGCTTAAGCGTAGCATTTGTGTTTATAGCCTAGCGATCAGCGAATAGGTAGGGAAAAAATAGCCTAGGGTGTTTACTCTTTGTTTAGATCATGGGGTAATTGTAATAATTGTAAATATTAAGCGTATTATTTATGTTCCATAGACGACAGAGTAAGAATGCGGCTCGGTCGCCGACTAGCATAATTTGGAGACAGAATACCTTCTGTTGAGGGTGACCTCTAAGTGACCTTCGCAGCCCAGAATATGGGTTGGCCAGAAAGAGTTGGTGTGGAGGCTTGAAGTAGTGTTAGGAGAGCGATCCCTTTAAGTGCGTTGGTAATTATATTAAAGGGTTTCGTTTAGTGGGAAGTATATAAAAAAAATTGTAGTATGGACTGTATTATTCCCTTTGCTTGCACTCAGGAAAAAAGACTTAGAACTTAAATCCATGGTTTTGTTTACTTTAATAACGGAAGGTCTATGACTATAACCTAAGAATTGTTCTCTCGTTTTCATTTTCCCCTTCAAATATACAAGTAAACAATAAAATCAAAGAATGAATAATTTAACAGGAAATAAAATGTTGAAAACAATTACAGGTATTGAATTCTTAAATAGACTAAGACACTTCAACAGGGAAGCCTAACCATTTTCAATATAATATTTCCAGGATTGCGAAGGTTTAGTAGTTGTTCTGCATTATTTACGAAAAATTGGCGCGTCGCAAGAGGTCTTCCAGTGAACCGGAATGCTGAAGGAATTCTGACCGATGGCCCGGACTACACCTTCCTTGATGGAAGACCTACACCTTTGTTGGTAGGATTTTATTATTTTTCATTAAAAAACCATTTAAGAGTATTAAATAATACAAAACTTCGTAACGACATATTATACAAACAAGTTGAATAACACTGTTAAAATTTAACTTATTAAATTATTGAAAATTATAATGCCGTTTAACCCATTGTCAAATATTCAGCCAAATAACTAAACAGTCTAAACACGACAGCACATAGGTGATTGTCTAAATAATGTATTATAGTCTGCATTCTGTTTTGAAGGGTGGAAAAGCAATTGTACAATAACTAATTGCTGTATTCATATTGTGATTTCGGAATTCTGGAAACAACTTCAAAACAAGGAGTACACATGAAACCTATGTATTAAAAAAATAAATAAAACATTGTTTTGAACTAAATTTCATAATGTCTTTCATCTATTCTCTAGTAGTCATTAAATAGCCTATCGCTTTACGCTTGGACTTATAGTACTGTTAGTTATCAGCCAGTACCTCATCTAAGTAAGCTCGTTCACCCATCTAACCAATAAAATATATGTTTATTTCAGCATAAACAAAAACTAAGGATGCAACGACAGAGGCAACTAGCTGAACAGATAGTGACATTATCCTCCGAACTGCAGTTTGCCAAAGATAGATATCAAAAGATACAAAAAGAAGAACAAGAGAAACGACAAGAAATCTTAAACAACAGACTCAAACCAAAAGGAATGATGTTGCAGAAGAAAAATTTATCATAAAAAATGTATTTGTAAAGTAGTTGTAAATGAATTAGAAATTGAAATAAAGAATACTGTTATTTCTGCCTTACTGTAACAAATTGATTATGTAGTATTGTTGGCAGACCTGTTGCACAGTGTTATTGATATTAAATTATATTTAGTAATGTTCTTGGTTTGTTTGCATGTGACCAGGATATGTATGGAAATGGTAGTGCAAGGTAGAGGGGGAAGAGGTCAACTGAAGAAGATTATATGAGAAAAAGAGGAGTGAGTGTTGAGATTATGGCTGATAGAGGAGAATGGAATAGAAGAAATCGCTGTGCCGTCCACGTCTAGTGGGATATGGTGGAGATAAAGAAGAAAAAGAGTTGTTTGTTCATTGTATCTTGTTATTAATGAGTGTGAATCCATTTTCGTCTGGGCACACCTTTTGTATTTATAAGATGTGGTATAACGATAGAGGTTAATTAGTTTTTTTTATGAGTTATTTATTAGATATGCTGGGTTTTTATAAGGAGCACTGATCTTTAACATCTCACTAATTTATCCATATTTTTTAATGACATGTATATCGACATATGAAAAAAAATATTGAAATTTGAAAATATATAATATTATATTTATTGGCACATTGTGAATTTGTACAGATCCTTTATTTTTGACTCTTTCACTTAACTGTCTATTTTGAGTTGTGGGAGGGCGTATCGTAAGCTAAGTCAAAGGGTTGATACCGCTACCGCTCATTTTTGATAAGAAACGGTTATGATTTCCGTTTTAAAGGGTGGAACGGCCATTGTACCTACATTAGAATTGCGACTTAAACCTAATGTTTCAAGATTTCACTTAGCACTTCAATTAACACCAGGCGAGCTCATTCACACAACTATACGTTAAATAAACAGAAACACATAGCACAATTGACTGAATGAGTTTTTTTGAAGTGAAACTTCTTTAGGCGCATGAGGGTAAAATTTTTGCAGATGTAACGTCACGCAGGTATGCAACGGAAGTGTCGAAAAAGAGAGAGAGAGCGATCGAGACCGATTGAGAGAGATTAAGACAGGGCGAACGTAGCATGAAGCAACTATCCATGGAGTGAGAGTAGGGAGCAAGCAAGTGTGAAAGATCGAGAGAAAAAGTGAGACAGAATGCTCAGTTCCTACATTAAAACGTACGTATAAAGTATTTTATTTTTAATACAGCGCCATCTGTGAGATGTTTTAATACTAACGTGTGTATGAAACATCTTGTAGTGAATTTTAATTTAGGATATACGTGAAGTTAAAATATCAATTCACAGAGGGCGCTACCTCATACTATAAAAGGTGATTAACAATTATTTACTAATGACAAAATTTTACTAATAATATACTTAGACATTTAGGATAATTGTATTAATTTTTGAAGGTTTCACTTCTAAAACGTGTGAATTGCACACATGTTATTTATTTAAATAATGGACAAATCATAGTAATATATTGTTTAGATTGGCCAGGTATAGCTGAGCGGTCGTTCCGTCATTGTCCGTAATCGGTGGAACTAAATTCATTGTAATAAAAAGCTTTATATTATAATGAAAAAGAAAAAAAAAACTGTTCCCATTACGTCCACAACCTGACTTGCCAATTTTGGCGCCATTATTATTAACCTTTGTGCTCTGTCAAACGGGCTACGGTATGAACTGTCATAGGTTGAAATAAATCATGGCCTCATAAAGGATTTCTGAAATTTTATCCCAATGGTTTCACTTTACAGCAACGCGGAAGCCTATTATCGTTGTCAATTACCAGCCTAACAGAACACTGTAGCAGGCTTTCAACACATTGGCGTACATGACCGCACTCTAACAATGTTAAATTCCCGCTTTCATAATTTGCTGACCTGGAAATAAATGTTTCGCTACAAAATTCGTCTTCCAGATTTAATATTTTAGTGTAACGTTGAGATTGCGATGAAATTTCTGATGGTACACATACTGCTTAATTGCGTTAAAGTTAGTTCGGGGTTTTTTTAATTTTTGTTTATTGCTTAGATGAGTGGACGAGCTCACAGACCACCTGGTGTTAAGTGGTTACTGGAGCCCATAGACATCTACGACGTAAATGCGTCACCCACCTTGAGATATAAGTTCTAAGGTCTCAAGTAGGTATAGTTACAACGGCTGCCCCACCCTTCAAACCGAAACGCATTACTGCTTCACGGCAGAAATAGGTTGTTCAGCAGTTACGGAAATCTACCAGCGCGGGAAAGAAATCCTATTGCTAATTCCTATTAAGTAATATGACCGTTGGGGTTGAAGTCCTGCGGCAAGTACCAGTTTTATGATGATTAGTCCGATGGATAAAAAAATGATTTTATATAATAGTAGGTAATTTTATCGGTAATTAGTTGAACGTATCCATTTGTAGTGTCAGTTTTCAATTCATTATCAGTAATAACAAAAGCCGTGAGAAATGTCCCCCTTTTTTTATAATTTTTTTTATAGCCTAGAAGTGTGGACGAGCTCACAGCCCATTTGGTGTTAAGTGGTTACTGGAACCCATAGACATCTACAACGTAAATGCGCCACACACCTTAAGATATAAGTAGGTACTAAGGTCTCAGTATAGTTATAACGGCGGCCCCACCCTTCAAACCGAAACGCATTACTGCTTCACGGCAAAAATAGGCGGGGCGGTGGTACCTACCCGTCCCCCTGATCGTCAAATAAGAATAATTTATCCTATTGCTATTGTTTAAAGTTCGTGTTGAATCGATGCGATGTGATCGTGTATAAAATCGTCGCCAAGACGCGTCGTCAGTACGTTTCTGTTTGAAAGGAATTTAACTGCTTGAGAAAGGCTCTGAGTTTTTAGAGATTTAGATAGGTATAAATTGAGAGAAAAATTGACAATTCTAGTGTAATCTGATACAGTAAAGTAGTTAAAACAATTGTGGGACATTAATGTTTTTGCATTGAATATTTAATTTATTTATTTGTTTATTATTTAATTATTTAAATCGCCCTCGAAACCTCGTTACCAATTAATTTTTGCATTACTCAATATTTAAAAAAAAAACAAAGTTATATCTAATCCTTTAATTTATTTTTTATACAAATAAACAATAGTCGAATTCAAAAAAAATCCAAGTAAGTAGTATATTTTGTTCACAATTCCTAGTAATATAATATAATTTAAAATTAAAGTTTACAGTAACTTAGTTATTTTTTTAAGATTATCAGTTATAACTAGAGTTGCTGGAAGATTACAAATATTTTTTATCGTTGTAAATTGGCAGAGGAGTTCACGAAACACCTAATGTCAATTGGTTTTGTTTTTTTGAAGGTTTAATGGCCTGGTAGGTAAGTGTCAAGTAGATTTGAAGTCCATACACCCGAGGACTTGCTTAGTGGATTCAATTTCCACGTACAATACAGACCCACTGTCTCAACATATAGTGTCCGACAAAAATCCCACACTGCTATTAATATACCACTATCAGCTCAATAAAAAAATACAATATGGATGTAATAAGTGTTGACGGCCTTAACTGATGTAATATTTTTATTTTTCCTAGAGTGACACAACACACATGAGCGACGTGCCCGCTGAAGTTAAAGACCATGTGCTTAGAGCGAGTTTTTAACGTTGTCGATAGCGTAAAAGTTAACTCAAAGTATGCGGTTGGAACAGCGCCCCTAGCGGCAAACGTAGGCAAACGTTCCGATTCAATACAAATAATACTCGCACTAACCACACGGACGAAGAGGTAGTATTTACAATGACGGAATTTCAAAAACACGTCATCGAGAAATCAGCCGCAAAAAGAGCACTGAAATATATTGCACTAGCTGTACCGGTCCGCTTCGCTGGCCATTTAAAATTAACATTATTATTTCTCACCCCTACAAAGATTCTCATCATTAACGCCCCTGCAACTGGTGTAGGGAGTCCAAAACTCATATAAATATTAGCCTATCCATTAAGTACATGTATTTTCTACATAGATACCAAGTTTCAAGTCAATCGGATGCACGGTTCAGTAGTTATAACGGAACATCCGTAAAAACCACTGTAGTTTTATATATTAACTATGGTCTTTCGTAGAAATATTCATAGCACTCATCCATCCTTGTTGCAAGAGATCATTGTTGCCATATACCATAAAACTGCTCAACCTCATAAATTTGGGAAGAAAGATGAAAGATAATTTACAATTTTGTCTTTATTATTTTTATTTTTAGCTTTCGACTAAGAAATTAAGAACTAATAAAAAAACACTGCTAGCTCCGTCTTGGCGTCACTCCGTCTTCCTCCGTTAGAGAATTTTTAAAGGTCCTTAGCTAGTAGCAGTTTAGCTGCATCCCTGTGTTGCTGATAATCATGAACGAGGGTATTCAAAAATGGCAGAAAGTGTGAAGGCTTTACAAAGTGTCCGGGCCAGCGATCTGAATCCAGAATGACCATGCGAGCACTATCATATAATTTGTCAATTTTCATGACATACGTCCCCAGATAAAAACAGAAAAATTTACTGCATTTTCACAGTCATTTTACCGTAATTAATCGCTCCTTTATCGTTCATCGATTTACCAGCGTTTATGATTTGTTTAGCGTTATTTTTTAAATAAGACTTTATGTAGAAATCACCGAATAAATACAAGAATAACACTGTGTTGAAGCAGACAACGAAAAGCAGACCATGTGCCGGCTGACACTCAGACGAAACGTGATTGATTATAATGTGCAGAAACATCATTACGAATTGAACCTGGAGAGAAAAAAATTATGTTAATTTTACATTAAAGGGAATGTATAGATAATAAATGAATGTGGGGTAGGGATGCTGAATTCCTTTGTAGAAAATCATGTCGGTGTGTTATATCGGTGAAAACCTTGATGGTTAATTTTCGGCTCTGAACCTTTATGCAGCTTTTATTTATTTATTTTTATTGCTTAGATGGGTGGATGAGCCCACCTGGTGTTAAGTGGTTACTGGAGCCCATAGACATCTACGACGTAAACGCGCCACCCACCTTGAGATATAAGTTCTAAGGTCTCAAGTATAGTTACAACGGCTGCCCCACCCTTCAAACCGAAACGCATTACTGCTTCACGGCAGAAATAGCGGGTGGTGGTACCTACTCGCCCGGACTCACAAGAGGTTCTACCGCTAGTAAAAAGCTTACTGTGCTAGCATCGTTTTAGTATCTTGTAGATAGTTATTGGAGCTTGTGATCACCTAGACTTCGAAAACTGCTATTTCAATGCTATGAAGTTGCTGTGAACGCTATAATCCAAAGCGGAACACACGTAAGATAGATGAGAATTTGTAGGTTTAATTACCATTTCGAGAGTTGAAAGGTTATTTGGTTAAAGTGACACTTCGCTTAATACGCGACATTTATCTTTATAATGAAAGGTCCGTTTTATTTGTTAATAGCATCAACAGTTCGATGTTTTTAACTGAACTTCAATTAATTTCACTCAATTGAAGTAGCTGAAGAAGTTTTTTTTGTAATGATATTTTGGAACGAAGTTCCTTATGGGACGATGCGGAAAAGTACCCTAACCGAGAAAAAACGTCCGTGACGTAAGATTTTTATTAATAATGCACGACTTAACTTTGTAATAACGTACAAATTAGTAATGCATACAGTGTACGACTTAACTTTGTAATAGCGTACAAAAATAAAATATTTTTTTTTATCATGCATTGACCACGATCTCAGAGCGTTTGTTTGCGCAATACACTAACTCATATGCAAACAACCGTGAATGAAGTGTACCACAATTAGTTCGCACGTTACCGAATGACCGTGGGTTGTTGCGAAACCTCTAGTTTTATTTTCTTTATACCTCGAATAGAACTTAAAATTAATATTTTTATAATAAGGAACTTCGTTCTTCGTTCGGTTTCCCACGACGCCACACATAATTTTTTCCAAATTTTAAACTTGAAATGGCTCTGCTGTAAAGTTGCAAACACGTCACTTCAACCAAATAGCCTTTGTCTCGTCGATTTGAGAAGTTTTATTTATACCTAAAAATCTTACCAGCTGCATAGCAGTGATGTACTTCTTCCACCACAAGTACTTCGTGATCCTCGGGAAAACGGACAAACAGTAATATCCGTACATGATAATGTGGACGAAAGAGTTAATGGTTCCGAGGAAAACTGTGCCATCAGTCCTGCTGTATTTCACCACTGACCACGTGACCAAAACCATCATAGTGTGATGGTAGACGTGAAGGAAGGTCACCTGGCGTTGGTTTTTACGTAGGACGAAGAATATAGTGTCCATCAGTTCCACAACTTTGGCTACGAAATAGTAATGACTCCCGTCTAGGATCTGGAATTTAAATTAAAATACATTTAAAAAATTCTAATAGTCTATTATAATGTAAGCTTAAGTCGTTTACAGTACGGTTCCGAAATTAAGAGCTTGGAGACGAATTTGATTTGGTTAAGGAAGATCCAAAAAGTACATTATAATTTCAATCTAGAATTAAAAAAAACCAGCCATATTTGTCGGATGATAAAGAAGTAGAGATAAATAAACATACTGAGAAAATAATAATGAAATTTAGAAATAGCTAACCAAAATTTTTGTTTCGTCTTTTTCGCACAGACATTTCTTGTTCCACATTCCGTATTTACTCATAAATTGGTAGCCCTGAAATAGAACATATTTTTGAATAATTAAAAACACTGGTCCGAACATTATTTATTATAAGGGTGTGTCCACACCCACGATTAGTTGTACGGTCCAAGTGGTGTTAAATGGTTCAACATCAACAACTTCAATATTGTCTCTCATCTTGGAACATGAGCTCTAAGTGTCAACCTAGAGCTGACGTTTTACAGTATTACGGCTTACTGCTTCACGGCAGAAATAAGCAGAGTGGTGGCACCTCGTTGTGCAGACCTACAGTAATCACCCAATTCATAATTTTTGCGGGTTTTTATTAGACAGTACAGAACTAGCTGGATGAAAAAAAATTTGAAAAAAACTTAGATATGTTTAAATATAGATATAGTAAACATCCAGACAAAGAGCAAACAAATCTGTTCATCACATAATATTTGCCCGATGTGGGAATCGAACCCACGACCCTCGGCGCAATAGTCAGAGCCGATCTCTACTGCGCCACCGAGTCAGTCAGTTAGTACCTACACCAGTTAACACCAAATGGGCTGTGAGTTCGTTCACCTGTTACACGAGTAACCTTGATTGAATAAAATTTTCGATTGAATTCAATATACCCTTGAACTTTTCGATTTGTGTCAGAGGTGTCAATGTTTTTCAATATAATGTAATATGAGTTTACAAACAATGGGAAGATATTTTACATTCGATTCAAAGGAGAATGCCTTGAACTTTTTTTTTTATGAAATCGTCTGTATATATACTAATATCATTATAAGATATGTCGATTTCCTTTCTTCAGTCGTGCTCCTCATGTCTAAGGGTTGAGATCACCTCCATCCATGAGTTCGTTTTCAACGTTGATATAGAAAGCAAAGATGGTGTTTGGAGAACACAAATTTTTTGCAAAATGTTATAATATAATGTTACATAGTAAATTGTAAGAAAAATTAAAAATTTTGAGGGAGAATCGGGCTCATGCCTCAAGAAGCTTAGACTTATGTACACTTTCACGAATTACGAATATACTAAAAAGAAAAGTATTTGTACTAAGCTACTAAATGAATATTGATTTCCAAATACATTAGAATATTTTATGTTTTATAGCTGGCAACGATATTCGCTCCGCGTTAAACGCATAATCTTTCCCCCAGCCTACCTTAATGAGTTTTGTCTCGTTTGAGTCTCGGACGCAAGCCGTTGAGACCTAGGGTTTTGGTCGTGTCAAATTCGACATTCTCACCCAACAACCTTACGCGTAGGCGAAAATCAGGCGATTTCCTACTGTTCCAAAAAATATATTGCCACAGTAAAAAGATACTTAGTTCTCAAAATCGAAATAGAAAACAGTAATTAAAGGAGTCAGAGCTGTGACGTCAGTCAAAATTTATTACCAAACTTCACGACACGCAGAGTGATAAAACGCATATAACTTTACTTTGTTTGTTGAACCACGAAAAGTACTTTGGAAGCTATGAGGGAACAAATAAAAATATCCAACAAACATATATTCTCTTTTCTTCTCTTCCATCAAACAAACAGAATAGAAAAACTAATTAATCTCAATTAACGATCTTTTGAACCTAGCGACTATTGATTTTGTATGGAACACGCAACGAAATCTAAACTCCAATATGCCCCAAAAACATACCTTTGTTTTGTCACAATAAAACAATAATGTTTGCTGTTCATTTCCCGTCTGACGTATGAAAGATGCAAGCGACGTTTCCTTATTGCGACCCGTCTGAGACCAGATGACTATATTTGCATTATAAAATTGCTTTGCAGTGTGCGAGACGCATCCATCTACTAACCAGGACATCATTTAGAGACCTCAACCTATAATTATCACGTGTGTAGTAGAAAACGAGACAAGCAGACCAATATATACGATTTAATTCAAGTCTAAAGTTATATTATGCTAAATCTATAGTCAATAAAATTTAGGTTACGATTTTTCCTGAATAAATTTCAATTAGCTCAAGTTCTTGATTTCCTAAATATAGGTTTGGTGATTGACGAAAGCGTATATGAATACGACGCACCAAGCAATCGCGGGAGCGAAGGATATGTAGTTTTACGAAGAAAGGAAGATCTTATACCGAGCGGGTGATATTGCTCGGTAGACCGACGGTCCGAACGTTGTTGTTCGGAACTTTTATATATGTTGAAAATATATTGTGTTGAAATATTATCTTGAAAATGTTGTGAGTTTCAGGCATTTGTCTAATATCTTGTGTTGTATGATGGCTACCGCCACAGATATGCTCCCAGATCCTCGTTAGGTTTGCCACACCGGGACTTATGGNTACCGAGCGGGTGATATTGCTCGGTAGACCGACGGTCCGAACGTTGTTGTTCGGAACTTTTATATATGTTGAAAATATATTGTGTTGAAATATTATCTTGAAAATGTTGTGAGTTTCAGGCATTTGTCTAATATCTTGTGTTGTATGATGGCTACCGCCACAGATATGCTCCCAGATCCTCGTTAGGTTTGCCACACCGGGACTTATGGAGGATGCATACAGCGGTTCGCCAACTGAGAGGTCTAATGGTCGCGTCGCCGAAATTCGTAAGTGCATCAGTTCGCGAGGCCAAGTGGCGAAATGAGATGCGTAGACAGACTGCTTCTACTCGTCTTTTGCAAGTTTTGAATGTCTCGTTGGCGATTAGACGCACGGGCAACGAACGTGTGATGGAGAAATTGGTTGTTGGATTCGAATACAACATACCACATTCTCTATACGTGAGGTAATTGCCCCAACTATTAGAGAAGTTTCATTATTTATTTATTTATTTATTTATTATACACTTCATGTAAAATTTACATTGGCGGACTTAATGCCTAAGGCATTCTCTACCAGTCAACCAAAGGTAGTGCAAAGTAAATAGTGGTAGGTGCAATGAAATTTCCGGCCCAAATAAATGTCGTCCAAGCCCATATACTTAGTATCAAAGCTAATTCAGTGACTTTAAAACGTAAGTTTAGACTTATTTGTAGCACTTACCAAATAAAAGATGTAAAACGAGACGGCAACTTGTAAATTGTTGTATACAACAAGAAGCTTTTCAACATTGTAGGGTTTTCGTTGCCTCATGAATTCCGGACCGAATTTCAAAACGAACCACAAGTATAGGATTATAATCGTGGTAACAGGAAATGGGGATGACATCAATAGTTTTTGATCCGTATAATCACCTGAAAGATAATAAGGTGATGCTAGTTTGGATGACTGAGTAATCGTATAGTTGGCACTAATGGTCCGGGCATCCCTTGGGGCTGCTGCCCAACAGCCACTCTTATCGAAATGCTATCTCAGTGCTGAGCTGGAAACATGAATATTGATTTGCAAAACTATGTACGAAGGCCCTTCTTTCAAATACGACCAAAAATCGTAAAAGGTAGGAGGATTCTATGGGCAATTTTATAGCCAAAATGATGGTCTCCGAACCGAAAATAAGGATTAAACGAGCATAAATTACATTTACGTTGTAATGCTCTCATTAATTTAATGGCCTACAAAAAGCGGGTCGTTACGGCGAGGCCATTTAAATCGCGGAATGCACGTTTAAAATTATTGGTTTTGGTCGCCTAGTACTGAGGATGCTATAGGTCTTAAAATGTACATATGGATTTTAAAAACATTATATAGCTAATATAAACTGAGACTTAACCGAACCTTAAAAGAACAGCACGTTTTTCTCTGCTTCTTTTTAATGTCTCTAAACCGTGAAATGTTAAGTTGACGTTTTGGATAAAATCGATGCTTTTTAGTAATAGTGCTAAAGGGAAAATGTCGCGGCTCCTACACTGTGAAAAAATTTCCATGAAGAACAGAATACGCAGTACAATGTTGGATCGATTTTTGATTTTACCATTCAAGCTTCATTGTCACTTGAGCCACAGTATCACCTCTGAACCTCTTGATATCTCCAGATGTACTGTAAATACTGGATTCAAAGATCTGCTGAATTCTTGTCAGATCAATTTGCCTGTAGCTATTCTGTGGTCTAAATGTGTGCTTAATGAGCTTAGTGAGAAATGAAATCTGCCGAACTCACCGGCTCCTTTGAACTCCCAGAACGATGGTACATCTATTCTTTCCATGTTTGAAGACGGAAGGACGGATTTGAAGGAAACGAGCACTGATATTCGGTAAAGCTAAGATTTCATCCTGTGGCGCGTTTTATACTGCCTACCACAAATTTGCAGTTCGGTTTAATACCTCCTGTCGAAGTTTGTTGGCGTAATCTCTTTTGTTTTACAATAGTATAGGTTGCGGTGGGATTTGCAGCGGAAACTGAAACTTTGAGGGTGAACCGAGAACCAAGTTTATGTATTAGTGCTGATTGTGGACTAGACTTGTTAGAGAATAAAAACTCGTATCTCGATAGCCATTTAAGCCATCAGACGTGGAGCTTAATAGTTACAAGCGGTGTGAGCTTCCAAGAATCGGTAACACCGCCTGCTATACTACTAATTTTAACATAGCTATTGTCATATTCTAAAAAAAATCGTTGATATTTTCAAAGTTCCGCTATACGTAAGAAATCGCTGTCACGTCGCTTCGAAAAACACGCTGCTTGTGGGACGAAAACTCAAACGGTGACCCTTATTAATATTCCATTTGAATTCTAAATACTTCTAATTGAGCAATTGATCGAACTTGGCATTGTGTTGTAAATATGCTCATTGAAGTTTAACGTATATATGTATTTCTTAATTATTGTGTTTGTATAATACTATAAAATGATTTGTAATTAATTGCTTAATAGCCGACTTAACCTAATACGTGTATGGCTCTAAATTTGCTTAATTATTATTACTATAGTTAATTCTTATATTAATCTTTAAATTATTATAATACTTACAATATAGTTACTTAAATTATATTATATACTGTTGTTTTTAAGATCTATAAATAATAATAAATTGATGATTAGAAATTCCAAAATTGTCTTTATCTCCCGCCATTTACATTTGACTAACACAAATATTTTATTTAGAACTAAAACTTTTTTTCAATGTGTATTTTGGAAGACACGAGCTCCCAATGAGTTCGGATTTCAGAAAAGCTTTCAAAAGAAATTTTCTGGGATACAATGTATGTCAAAACAATTTTATTTGCGAATTTCCAGTTGAAATTAACCTCAACACACATGAATTCTAAAACGTTGTCGGAAAGCTTTCAAATCGGTCTCGCGTTTTCGGGGAGCTTTCAAATCACGTCTCGTAATAATGAAGCTTCCGCGTAAACATTAAACATTGTGAAAGTAATGTGTTTTTCGTTAATTAATGCAACCTTTTTAAATTATTGGGTTTTTATTTTTTATTTTTTTATTATAAAATTTGTGTTCTTCATTTTTCAAGCTATGTAATTTTTACTTGAAAATAGTAGAAGAATGAAACAGAACCTTCTATCCTATATTCGTTTGTACTGGTTCACGTAAAAAGCGGACGTAGAGAATAAATAATATAATTTCATTTCATTCTGATATCTGTTACTGGTGGTAGGACCTCTTGTGAGTTCGCGCGGGTGGGTACCACCACCCTGTCTATTTCTGCCGTGAAACAGTAATGCGTTTCGGTTTGAAGGGTGAAGCAGCCCTAAGAATTGTACTGAGGCCTCAGAATTCATATCTCAAGGTGGGTGGGGTATTTACGTTGTAGATGTCTATGGGCTCCAGTAACTNATTTCATTCTGATATCTGTTACTGGTGGTAGGACCTCTTGTGAGTTCGCGCGGGTGGGTACCACCACCCTGTCTATTTCTGCCGTGAAACAGTAATGCGTTTCGGTTTGAAGGGTGAAGCAGCCCTAAGAATTGTACTGAGGCCTCAGAATTCATATCTCAAGGTGGGTGGGGTATTTACGTTGTAGATGTCTATGGGCTCCAGTAACTACTTAACACCAGGTGTGTTACAAGATATATTTTTATGTAAGTCTGTTAAGATATAGCACCGTCCATGCTAGTTTGCTTATTCCTCTCCCTGCAAGGTCGCCTGGAAGAGATCGCTTTCAGCGATAAGGCCGCCAATTTATGTCACCGTCTATTATTTGTTTTATATGCTTACTTTGTACATGTGGTGTTGGATAAAAAGTAATGTTATTATTATTATTACCGCCACCCTGCTTATTTCTAGCGCAGCGATTATCCTATGAAACTGAGATTTAGAACTCATGTCTCAGGGTGAGTGTCGGTATATACGTTGCTGATATCTATGGGCTCTGGTAACTATTTAAGACCAGTTGGGCCGTGAGCTCGTCCACTCATCTAAGCGATAAATAATAATAAACTTATTTTTCTTCTCTGAGCACATGAGCAGAGTCGACGACAAAGTATTTACAATGTAATCAATTTTCAAACAAACTGTGACTTAATAGCTTCATGCAACGCTTGTTCTCAAACTTCAAGACTGTCATAGTTACATTAAGCAGCTGTATTTTCAGCATAACTCTGCCAGTGTCAGTTGGCGAGGGTATATTCCAGCCTTTCCCAAAGTGGGCGATAACGCCCCCTTGTGGACGCTGCAGGCCTAACGGGGGGCGGTAAGAGACCCAGTGAAAAAATGGGGGGGTTGTGTAGAGGCTTGGGAGGCGATTTATAATTTCATTTAAAAGGACTCTTAGACACTGACTAAGCTCTCACTATAGTGGTGTTTAAGTAGGTGAAAAAATGGGGGCGCTAAAAAATAATTTATTCTCAAAGTGGGCAGTAGACAAAATAGGTTTGGGAACCACTGGTATATACGAATGAAGCTTAAGCACACACACACACATACATAGCGGACTGGTTAATAGGAAGAGCGCAAACATCCGTTTTATTACTCAACAGCTATTTATTGTATTTAGACGAACAGCGTGTTAGTTGTAGTTGTTTTTTATTAGTCGTACCTACGTTGTATTGAAGACAAAATTACATTTTTACGAGACCTTCTTTTATTAGATTAGCTAGCTTCCCGCCCGCAGCATCGCCTGCATTGGCTACGCTTTATATCGCGTGGATTGTGATTCGTGTTCAGCAGTGGAATAAACCATAGCCCTTATTGTGTTTCCAGGGTTCAAATTATTTCTATATCTAATTTTGTCAAAATGATTTATTCGCTTGGGCTAGAGTTAGTTACTTATTCTAAATATTTTTGCTATATAGTTTTTAACGGCTAACAAAGCCCACTGAGTTTCTCGCCGGATCTTCCCAGTGGGTCGCGTTTCCGATCCGGTGGTAGATTCTGCGAAGCGCTGCTCTTTCTAGAGCTAGTGTTAGCAACGTCACCGGGTTAGAGCCCCGTGAGCTCAGCTACACGTCAAGGAATAGCTGAAATAGCCTCTCAAGGCTATCAGCATAGGTAGGAATCTAGTATGACTAGTATGACTAGTCACTAGAAAAGGTAGGAATAAAAAGGCTAACAGTGTAAAAGCAAACTCTAAACATTTTTAAAATACGATAATGTTTTTACAGCATACGATTTTAATGAAACAAATCATATACAACGTATGTAAATACTGATGAAAATAATATTCATTAATTCCAGAGATGTCGGCGAACAAACAGACATACAGACAAAAACTATTCTAAAGATCGTTGCTTTTGTAGGTACTATTACTCTAGTTTACTTACTCCATATCTATTTTCATTACTTTTGTTCAATGTACAGGCACACCGAAGTCTGGTGTTCTATTATTTGTATTGATACAATGGGGTAACCAAAAGAAAGTTGCTCGTATGATTCTGGATAGAAAAAGCTAAGCGTTGAATGCTACCTAAATATCTCTCTTTATTTTTTTATCTTAGTCTTGATTTACTTCGATTAAAATAGCTATTACATTTAACAGGCAATTGAACACTCTTTAACCAAGAAGGTTATTTGATTAAGATGGTCATAGCTTCCATACTTCGACAGCGCTACGAAATTTTGTTACTAAAGACAAGAACGTAGTCGTGGCATTCCGTTTTGGTGCCCATATCGTGTCTAACGTTCAGTGAATAGGAAAATTAAGTTTTTCGGGACTAATTATTATTTTGCCTTTAATATGAAAGTCGTTTGTAAGCACATCTAGGGCAAAGTGAAGGCTTAGAATATGCATAGGTATGTATGTATGCACTAAGATTAATTGATCCCTTGTCTTTGTTACGAATTAATAATAAAAACTTCCACAGACAGTCTAATGACATCAGGGAAGATTATAAATACCCTTTAAATTCTGAATTGTTTGGTTACCGTTGACATTACATACAGCGTGTGTTTTTACAGCAAGGAGCAGTTGTGAAGAATTCCATTCTGTTTATTAAAATGGCTCGGCGTAATTAGTCTTTGTTGAGGATTCTAATCGAATGGATGAGCTCATTATCCGCTTATTGTAAAGCTGTTATCAAAGCCCCCCGACGGGTAATACGGCCCCAACCTTGAGACATGAGGTCGAACTCTTAACTGTGCAACGGCAGTCCCACTGTACCGATCGGAATAGATAACTAGTTTACAGTTCTCCTCCACGGTGTTTCCGGAGCATTATGACATGTTCTTCTTCAAATGAGGCTTGTGGAGGGTACCTAGAGGTAGGCAGCGACTTGGCTTTGGCATTGCTGAAGTCCATGGGCTCCAACTCACCAATAGGTGGGCTATATGGTCGTCTGCCTACACGGTCAATGAAAAAGAAAAAAAAGATTTAGACAGAGTGTATGTGCCACCCCTGAGGGCCTACCATCAATTAAATGATAATTATTTTGGAACTGACAACCCTACATATAAAGACCACGGCACTCGTGGTTATAATACCCAGATAATGAATGTACCTACCGCAAAGATTTACATCTCGGACGCTTTGTGTACTTCGCTATCGTACGAGTACGCGGGAGATAGATAATATTTACAGTCCGTGGCACAAATTTTGAGAATCACATGCTTAGATAACGACACAGCCTTCCTCAGTAGTGCCTGGTAGATATTCGTAGCTAATAACCCTTATTTATAGCAGATAATCTTGTAAACCTATCTATATAAATAAAAAATACTGTTTGCATGTGTGTTTGTCTGCTGTGCCTTAATAAGCCACTCAATACCTTCCTAAGCGTTCATCAGATTGTAGTATCACTGCTATACATATAAGAT